TATCTAATAATCATCCAGGAGCGTTGATCCAATTCACCATAAATTTTTCTTCCATACATGTTTTCATATGTCTTCCACATCTCTTAAAAACTATGAAGTGTGTTATATGTACATACAAAATATTATATATAATATTGATATTACAATGTAAAGAAAAATAACAAATTAAGTAGCCCTGCCCAACTTTATGAAGCATAATCTTGCATTTGGGTTTTTTTTGTACCAAGGATCAAACTCACAATGTTACACTTGCCAGGCAGGCACTTTTACCACTGAGCTAAATACCTGGCCATTGTTTTTTACCTTTTCATTTTAGTCTGCTTTCCCATCACTGATACAAAATTCCTGACACTCACAATTTAATGGAGGAAAAGTTTGTTTTGACTCATGGGTTTAGTGGGTTCAGTCCATGGTTGGCTGATTGCAAGACAGAAACAGCATGGTAAAGGTGTATGGCGGAGAAAAACTGCTCAATTCATGGTGGCCAGGAAGCGGAGCGAGAGAAGGGATGAGCCAGGGTTGAGAAAACATCCTTCCAAGTTACACCTCTAGTGAGCTACCTCCTGGAAGGCCTTCACCTTCAAACACGAAACTTTTGGGGGACTCTTAGTTCACCATAACAGTAGTGCTAGGTTTCATCCTTAGGGTACTGTACCGATGAGTTATCCCTCCAGGCCCTGATTTACTTTTAAACTTTTCTCCCTAATTTTTTTTTTTTTTTTTTTGTCTTTTTCCTTTTTATCGGTACCAGGGATCAAACTCACGACTGCCTGTTTGCAAGGCCAGTTATGCCACATAGCATGTTAGGTATCTCACAGTCTCTTCACTGAGCATTTCCAAAGCCTAGCATTCTAGAGAGCAAACTCTGACACTAATTGAGAGAAAGGGGAAAGGTTTGGATATAGCTGTGTATCAAGCACTTCATATACATCAAATTCTCATAGTAACTCTGACAAATAATTAATGTGTCTCAAATGACAAGGTGGCAGAAAAGAACTCCACAATTAAAACTCGGCCAACCGATTGTGAAGTTCTATAACGAATCTCTCTCTTTTTTTTTGTCTTTTTCCTTTTTATCGGTACCAGGGATCAAACTCACGACTGCCTGTTTGCAAGGCAGGCGCTTATGCCGCCGAGCTCAATCCCCAGCCCCATCTCCCTAATTGACAGCCTCCTTTCTTCTCACTGTCACTTCACTTCTCATTTCTACAAAGGAGAAGAGACTCAGGAAGAAAAATCTTAGAGGATAACTGAGCTCTGAAGTCATTTGTGCGATGCTTTTTAATGCTGAGAAAAGATACAACATGTTCTGGACTGTATTAATAATTGGCTTAAAATATATGATAGTGAAGAACTTATATTGATGATGGCCTTGTAGTGAACAGGCTGGAGAGAGCAGGAAGAATAGTATTAAAATATTTTCTTAATCCCAGCCATTTCCCTGTAATTAGGATTATGAAGTGAAAAGCTGCAGTCTGGATTCCAGTGTGAGAACAGATGCCTGGCAGAATCCGTGCCTACTACACAGGGTGAGCGGCATCACAGGTGGTGAGGTCTGGAATTAAAGTCCCTGAGGAAGGAAGGTCCTTGTTCCATTCTAGTGGGCTTCCTGCCTGCCAGCCTAGGGGAGGAGGGCAGGCTGACTCTGACCAGGTATCTTTTTTCTTTTTTTTTTTTTTTTTGTCTTTTTCCTTTTTATCGGTACCAGGGATCGAGCTCACGACTGCCTGCTTGCAAGGCAGGTGCTTATGCCGCTGAGCTAAATCCCCAGCCCCTTAACTTTTGTTCTTAATAGACGCAGGCTGGTGGCTTGGGGAACTGCAGAGAGAAATAACAAGAAAACACGGTGGCTGCTGTGTGGAGAGGCCCCGTTGTCCTGCGGCCTGATTGCACCCATCTTGGTGTTTTCTCCCAGCCTGTTTTTCCTTGCTTCTCTCTCATCATTGTCTCTTTCCCATCTTATCTGACAGCTATTTTACCTCCAAATTTCTGGGCTCACTCAGAATTATAGTGTAAGGCCCACATCACTGTTGCGATTAGCAGCCTTTCAGACAGAGGGAAGCGGGACGAGCAGGGAGATTCAGGAATGCATCAGACGGGGTCAGTCGGAATCCTGGGCACTGGCTCTAGCCGTGCCTGTGACTGCCTTTCTTGCAGGGCATGGGGCAGAGCTGGCTACACTCTGTAGATGAACCAAATCCTTTAGAAATGAAATCGATCCTCTTAGCAAGCAGTAGCCCCATCTTCTCTTAGGTATCCAGACCAGTAGTGTTGTTTTTCTTTTACTGAGCCATCTGGCACTTACTTAACCCCTCTAGTGTGGTAGGACGTATATTTGGGTCAGGCACACAATAACAATCCCCTATCTGGGATGTAGAGGACACAAGCAACAATCAAGTGTGGACAATCCATGCCATAAGTGCTCTTTTAGGGAACATTTGTGGAAAGTCTGGTAGGAGACAGGCAAATTGGGGTGGAGGTTTATTTGGCTGCCATTACAAAAGAGACTATAGACAGTGGTGTGAACAACAAAAGTTTAATTTCTCATAGATCTGGAGTCAAGAAGTCTGATATCAGGATGGCAGAATGATGCCAGGTACGATTCTGGTGAGCACTCTTCCTGGCTTGCTGGTGGCCACCTTCTTGCTGGGCACTAACATGTGGAGAGAGGACTGTCAGGGAGAGAGTGAGCTCTGTGGTGCCTCCTCTTATAAAAACACTAATCCCAATTTGCACCTGAGAGTTTGTGCTTACCTGGGGGCAGTGAACAATGTCCCTGGCAACTGCTGCTGGGATCAGCATGCTTCCTTGTGCCATGTACCCAGTGGTGAGACAGGAGCCGTGGGAAAATGTAGGTTTCCAGCTGGACTGGCTACTTTAGGATGTTCAGCAAAGGCATGGCAGAGGTGGCCTTCCTACCCCAAGCCTGAGCCACTGGGCTGTGACCATATGACCTTGAAGGACCGAAGGCCTGTCTCAGCTCTCCTCACCTCCTAAGTGAAGGCTGATTTCCAACACCAGAATGCACACGGAAGTGACCTTTGGAGGGGGGAGGGCGGGCTTATCCTTCATCCAGGAAGAGTCCGAGGCTTCTTAGGATCATGGGCTTCCTTACTTGCTCAATGAAGGAAGCTAATTACCATGAATTGTTTTCCTCCTGAGTTTCCCTTCAAAAGACAGTAACAAAGCAGTCTGATTTATAAGAAAATATGGTCTCCCAATCCAGAAATGCATGGGCTTACGATGAAGATGTAGTCTAGACCACATCCTGAGCCTCCTACATCCCAGTCCAAACTCCCCAACCAAACCCTTGCCACGGAGGTCCCGCGGCCTCCTCCTGCTCTTTGCCTCTTTAGATTTCATTTTACTGAGCAGTGTATATGCTAATCTCTTTGCACGATAAGCTAACTCCCACCACTTTTCCTCAGTCTGCTCATTCTCTAAGACCCAGTTCTCTGTGATACCTGTCCCATCTGACACACGCCTCACCTCATTCTAGCTGTTCCTGCTGGCACATGGCACCCTAGGCTAACACAGCTGGGAGCATTTATGCAGAAGTTTATGCACCTGCTCACACTGATGGGAAATCCTCAGGGGCAGTGTCTGAAATTTTAAATTGTGTTAAATTTTGATCCTCAATCCCTGACACACAATGGGAGCTTAACAAATATCTGCTGAGCCAAGTAAAATCCACAGGAACAAGTGCCCTCTGCCATGTGGATGTCATCATAATTTAATAGCATCTTACTGGATTTGCTTCATGGTGTCTTTCAGAAGGATGGCTTTTAAGGCCTCCTACAGATGTGACACCCCATCCCCCTCCTTGCAAAATTAACCCATTTAAAAGTAAACTGGAGGGATTTGCATCTCAAAAGGTTGAGGGGCAGGTTTTCTTTAAACATTAAACTTTGGCTGGAACTTTCAGAAACCTGCCTTACAGATCATTAACTTCTAGGACAGGGTGGAAGCTGAGTCATGGAGAAATTACTTTTTGGAGTCAATGTTCAGAGATGCCTCTGGAAAACAGGAAGGCAGAAAGTTTTGGATTCAGGGTGAATTAGGTTCACATTCTAGCTATATTAGCTGTGTCATTTAAGTGCTCTATACCCTAGATTTCTTTATCCCTAGTCTTATTTTTTCAAGGTAGTAAAGTTGAAGATCCTCTGTGAAGTTCCTTAGCTCCGAGAGGGAGAGGCACCAATATTGCATTGTCAATATGCTTCCCAGGGCCCTTGAGGAGAAGGCTTGTGTGGGTTTCAGAATTTTACCATGGACAACAGGAGTAAGGAAGTCAGAAAGATCCAGAAAGGAAGGGCCCGACGCTGGGCAGCACGGTTTGAGTGTCATAGCACTTGATGAGTTTTTTAATTAATTGTTTGATTTTTTAAAAAACTAAGCTCTCCGTGTTGAGCATGCAGATACTGGGGACAGCACTGTGCAGCTTGCTGACCGAGGGTCTTGGACTCTAGGCCTGCCCTTTGCCAGTCATGTCCTTCACCTAAGCCAGTAGTGGCAAACCTTTTATTAGAGTTTTTAGGAACAGCCTGGCTGTGGCATGTGTGCCGTGGTTCACTACCACTGACTCGGTTTCCTTATCTGTAGAAAGGATATAACAGTACTTATCTCTTAAGGTTGCAATGGGATAATGAGCATCAAGTTCTAAGCACAATGCCTGATACAGTGTATGTACACCCTCCAAGGACTGTTTTCTTTGGATAATCTCTCAGGTTCCTAAATTGGCCTTGGATTGATTTTCTTGGTTTGCCAGCACTGGCCGTCAGACCTGGGCGTCGCTGCAGGCCCATCTGTCCCCACCTTCCACAGTCCTACCGTGTTCAGCCCTCTCAAAAAGCCTTCACTTCCTCAGCCCACTCAGGTGCTTGTCAGATTGGGGGTCTTTCTTGCAGCTGCGCCCGTCATCCAGATGGTGGCCTACCGCACAAGCACCCCATGCCTGAGGGGGAAGCCTGCTGGCTGTAGGGAAGGTGAATGAGCACTTCATGTTTTTGCAGCGATTTCTCAGTTTCCTGGATTTTGTCTTACTGTTTGTATCTTTTGTGGAAAAACAGATTTGGAAATACAGGAGAAGTGGGTGGAAAAAGAGAGCCAGCTCCAACTGTTTGGGTCACAGCTACAGGCCAGACCCTTTGCTGCTCTTTTTCTCCGGAACCAGAGAGTGACTCAGTTTATTCTGATGTCCCCAGGACCCTGAGAGCCGACCCGCACCCAAGGGGCTGCGGTGGCGCAGGCATCAGGGTCTCCTCCTGGCAGCTAGGGCGGGCAGATACACGTGCATTCCACTTATCCTCAACCTGGAAAAGGAAGGCCGAGGACTTTGACCTTGGAGAAACGGCGTCCTCGGGCGATGGGGACGGGAGGGTCCGGGAGAAGTCCTCAGATTCCTCTGGAGAAGTTGTGCAAACAGAAGGCATTCCTCGGCTTCCGCCCCGAAGCGGGCCCGGTTCCCCGGAGCGGCGGCGTCCCGGTCGACGCCGTCGCGGGCCCGTCCTCGGTCTCGCCCGCCCCCTCGAGGCCCGGGCGGCCGCCGCGGCGCGAGAGCAGCAGCCCGAGCGCTCCGCGTGTCGCCCGGCGGCCGCCCGGAACCGCGGGCCGCGGGGATGCGCAGGCCGAGGTGGCGGCGCCTCCAGCCCCTTCCGCTGCCCCCGCCCCCGCCCCCGCTCGGCTCCGGGCTTCGCCTCCGCGCGGCCGACCCCGCGCCTCGCCCAGCCGCCGCGCGCTCGCTCCTCGCCAGCGGCTCCGCGGCCCCGGGAGAGGCCTGGAGCGGGAGCGGGAGCGGGAGCCGGGGCTGGCGGAGGATGGAGGGGGCGCGGGCGGCGGCCGAGCCTGCCGGCGGGAGCCCTCAGTGAGTACGGAGCCGGCGAGGCGCCGGGCGGGCGGCGCGGAGCGGGAAGGGCCGGAGGGCCGCCCTGCGCGTCCGTGTCCGCTTCGGCTTCGCCCCGGGAGGGCAGACGGGGCTTGAGGGGAGACGGAGCGGCTCCCGGCTGAACGGCCTTCCCGGAAGGGAAGCCTCTGCCAGCGCCTCCTTCTTTAGGTCTGGGACGTGGAGCCTCCGGGGTGATAAACTGCAGAGTTTATCCACCAGAAAGTTCTTACACTTTAACAGAGACGGCTCGCACGACCTTCTAACCCCCTGTTTTCTGGATTGGTTATAAGAAGAAAGAAAGAGGGGACTGGGGTGCAAAGAGAAACCTAGTACATTCTAGATTAACCGTAGAACAAATTGTTTCTTTTTTCCTAAAGATAGCCCTTAAATTCCACTGGTTTAAAGCTGATGTAACGTTTGTGGGGTTATATGGATAGTTTACATCTAAAGTACAAACATTCCTGAAATATGTCCATATTGAGTTGTAAACAACTGTAGAGAGTGTGGCACTTAAAAACGTTTTATAATGAATCTTAGTCTATGTGTGAAGGGAATAATTACTGCTAATTTGCAGTCTATGCACATACAGATTTTTATATGGGAAGTTGACTTCAAGTGGAACACTCAGAGATATAGAATGTAAGTAGCACTTTCCGAGACAGTAAATACCAAGACAGTGGCATGTGCATATTGCGGGTGATGACTAAAATCCCGTGCTGTCTTTCCTTTTGAAACTATTCACGTCAGCAGTGCCTCTAAGAGCCGGCAAGCCCTTACCCTCCTTGGAGTCTAATCTGCAGGATGATGGGAGTGGAGTTAAGAGATCATTAAATGTTTTGGAAGAACACTAGGCTTGGAACAAGAAGCTTTTTAACTGGGCCTCTCTAGTACTGTGTGATGTAATTTGTGCCTCAGTTTTTCTGTATGTAAAAGTGAAGATAATGATACCGTTCAGAACAGAGCCCTGTTGGGATTATTGAGAGGATGTCTTTGAAAGCACTTGAGGGGCTGGGGATTTAGCTCTGCCTTGCAAGCCTGTGGTCATCAGTTTGATCCCTGGTACCAATAAAAATACAAAATGCAAACAAAAAGAGAGAAAGCCCTTGAAAGGCTCTGCCTGACAGAGCAAACGTCTGCCATGCCTTTTGTTCTCCTCTCCTGCGATCTCCTCCCCTGACTGTTCACTCCCTTTGAGCGCAACCCCATGTTGTGGTCGAAGCATGGAGAGGGTTGAGGGTGAAAGGCAACACTTTCCACTGGCGGATGTGTCCTGCCTGTCATCTTTCTGGGGCCCCACATCTATGAAGAAGAGCATGTTGGCTGTTGGCAGACTTTGACATCTCCCACTGAGACCAGGGCTTGAGGAATCACTCTGACTTCATTCTGGTCCACATTTGATATAGGATTAATTGTTTGAAACCCATCTGTAAAATGGGGATAGAAAAAATAGAACAAGACTCAGATTTGGAAGAGAAAATTCTGTAGTAACTTATTTGTATTTTGCATATTTGTACCCTGCAAAATGTTTCCAATCTAGTGGGCGCCCCTACCCTATCTCCAGGTTTCTATTCTCACTGGGACATGGCCCTGGATCAAAACACTTTGGGGATTCAGCAAGTTACTATAGCTATCTAGGTGCTGCATCTCAGGATTTTTGTCTCTTTTCTCTTCCAGAAGGCCCAAGACAGGGAGCGGAACAACCAGCCCCATGCATGTGACCTCAGTTATGGAGAGAAATGGTCCTGAGGCACAACTGGATAATGGACCCCTCTCAAGACCCTGGCCATTTCCTACCCCTCAGCCTCCTAGGCTCTGTGGTGTGCAGCTCCGTGGACCCTCTGTGTTGGAGTTCAAGGTGAAGGCTTTGAAGGAGAAGATGATAGCGGGTAAACAGGGAGTGAGCCCCACCACCCATGAGCAGTCATCCCTCAAGAAATCCAAATGCCGACAAGTCAAGCCTAGAAGAGTCCGCATATCAGAAGACTCTTCCCTGCCAGCTGCTGTGGTGGTGCCCTCTGCTCAGAAGCTGACTGGTGAGCCACTAGACAACAGTGTCAACAAGGAAGAACCCACTAGGAATGGGGGCTTCAGGCCTCCCAAGGCCTCTGCCTTTGAGCTTGAGTGTTGGAAAGGGCAGAGCCCATTGCCTCCAGAAGCAGTATGGATGTTCCCAGAGTGTGATGGGCATCTATCACCAGGACCTGACTCTTTGCCAGAAAGCCCTATTCACAGAGTTACTCCAGGCTGGCCAGCAGGGCCTGGGCCTTGTAAAATCTCCTGTATGCCCAGCCTGAAGAAAAGAAGGCCAGACACCCTTCAAGATGGTCTGGTCACAGTGGGAGCCTTGGACAGCCCATCTCTCACCCCTGAAGAGGGCTTTGTCCCAAGGCCATGCCTGCAGGGGACGCTGTGGAAAGCTAGAGACATGGGGGCTCCGGGCACTGGGGGCAGTGTCTTATCCTTATCTGACCAAGTAGAGAGGAACCGCCTGCTGCTGCAGGAGATGCTGAAGGTTTCAGGACAGAGTCCCCCCAAGGTGGTATCTGCAGCCCAGGACAGAACTGCACCAGGTGAGCAAGCCTCATCGTACTTGGTAGTTCTTAGTGGGCAACAGAAGGGAGCAAGTGGGAGGGACGGGGAAGAGGGGTACTGTCGGAGAAGAACAGCAAAGGGAGGAGCATACAGTTGCCTGTCACCAAAATCGTCAGTGTCCTCTTACTCTTGGCTTTGACACAAATTCTTTACCACCTTACCAGCATCCCTGCCTGCTGGAGACCTCTGAATCGATGGGAAGCTGTCTGTGCTTGGGAGCAGAGGCCACCGTGACCTCTTCCCTGTGCCTTGTCACCCTTCCCAGAGTGGCTTTCTGTATTCCCTCCTGTATGGTGGCTTCACACCTCACTGTCCTCACTGCCCACCTTCCCTCCTCTGCTGGGAGGAACCAGTGCTCAGACCACAGAAGGCAGCCTGTTCTCTTCAGTGCATTCAGCTCCTCCTGCCTAACGGTGTATTAGGTCCTCTATGCCCACAGCCGTGCTGGCCATTAGTAATTGCGACAGGCTTTGCCTCTACTTCTCAGGCCAAGACACAGGCCCAGTGTTGGATTTATCTGGAACATAACATACTGGAAACCTGTCTCCTTGATGTTTGTTAAGTGGCAGCTGAGAGCTCAGGTTCTGGCTTCTGTTTTGACCTCTGCTTCTGTTCTGGGCCCTAGAACAACCAGCAGTGGACACAGGCTGGGAATCAGGACTGTTCCTGCAGGACTCAGAGCAGAACAGGTAAGGACCCAGAGCACACATTTTCTTTCCCTTCTTCTTCACCATCTTAGTTATTTAGTTAGTTACTTAGTTACTTAGTTCTTGTTGCTCAGACAAATACCCAACACCCAAAGTTAAAGGAGAAAAGGTTTATTTAGCTTACAGTTTGTAGAGGTTTCAGTGCATAATTGACTGGCTCCAAGGCAGTTGGCATGGCAGACAGGCATCTCAGAGGAGAAACAGGTCATAGTGGGCAGAAGGAAACAAAGCAGCTAGGGAGGACCATAGCACTCTCTACTCCTCGTATCTTGTCCAGACTGCTGGGAGCAGTTAGCGCTCATATCCTTAATCCTAGCACCTTTGAGCCTAGCATTGTACCATGAATGAATCCCAGTGCCACACATTTTAGTCCAGCCACCTATACAAAGCCCCACCTATGACTGTGTGAGGCTTTGGGGGACATCTGGATGCACAACAGCTCTACAACATTTACTGCATACCAAGACAGCACAAGGCCTTGAAAAGGTCAGAAGGCAAGCAAACCCCTGCACCCCTGGAGAGTGGCCACTGTGGATCGTGATCCCTGAGGCCCTGTAGAAAGTGTCTGTCACCTGCAGTGCCCAGGCTGCTGCCTACCTGCCACTTGAGCAAAGCCATAGGGGACAGAGGTATATAAAGAGCACTGCCAGTACCTGCTCTACCCTGAGTGCCCTTTCCCCTGTCTGGCTTTAAGGTGGAGAAAATTATATCGGATTATTGTAAGGTTAAAATGAAACAAATGGATGTGGGAGTCCTTAGGGAAAGTACAAGGATGCACGGCTTTTATTCCACCTGTTCTATTCCTAATCAAGCGAATATGCAGAGGTCAAGTCAAGAATTCCACCTGCAACCTCACCATGATACTCAGAATTTTTCCCTCCCTCCATCCTTGTTGTGGGGAAGCTGGATCCCCTGGGTTGTGGTGGGGGAAGAGGGGATGCCTGTCTTTCACAGGCAGTGTTAGAACTTGGCAGGCTGAGAAAAGTGTGCCCACTGTGTAGCAGGACCACTTGTGGGCCTGAGCGACTGCTGCTGCCCACAGAGAGTGGCATCAGCCCCTGTCTTAGCTGGACTCTGCATCTGAGGCTGAGAGGGCCTCTCCTGTTTCCCCAGCTGCTTGGGGACATCATCCTCTGCAGAGCATCCTGATTCCTACAGAGGGCAGAGCTTAGCCTGTTGCTTCTCCAAGGTCAGGCTGCTTCCTGTATAAATTCCAGTTAGTTTGACCTGCCCTCAAGAACGTGTGGGCAGGGCCTCGGTCTTTGTCTGTTTAGGCTACTATCACAAAATACCATAGACTGGAAGGCTTGTAAACAGCAGAAAGGTATTTCTCACAATTCTGGAGACTGCAAGTCAAGGTCAAGGAGCCAGCAGATGCGGGCTATTTTCCTGGTTCCATAATAGCACTTTCTCCTTGTGTCCTTACGTGGTTGAAGAGGACTAGGAAGCTATTTGAGGCCCTTTTAATAAGGACACTCATCATCTCCCAAGGCTGGACCTCCTAATACCATCACATTGGAGGTGCAGTTTGGCTGGGACATAAACATTCGGACCACAGCAACCCTTGGTAACAAAACGAGTGTGTCCTGTGTCAGATTTGGCTTCTGTTGGGCTAAACGTCTGGTTGAGGAGCTTGACTCTTTCATCCCTTGTTAGTTGTGTTTGGTCCCTTCTGCCTCCATGGCTGCTGATCTTGGCCTCTTGTCACAACCTTATCTGGTCCTTCCAGTGCAGAAGAATGTGGCTGCAGAGAGGACTGTCGTCCCCAGGGATACCTGCTCCCTCTTCCCTCCTCTGTCTCCTCCCCGCTTCCTTCCCTCTGGAGCCTCAGAGGAGAAAGCTTAGTAGTTGTGCTTGTGCCCTGAGGAGTGGCACCTCCTTCCCACCTTCCCTCCTTGACGGGAAAAGCACCCAGGGAAGATGTGACCACTGGGATTCTGCTCAGAGGTCACCATTGAAATGCAAATCCAAAGCTCCTGACATGCATGCTGGAAAATAATAAAAATCACTCATATTGTTATTATTATTGTTATTGTTTTTTTGAGACAGGGTCTCCCTATATAGTTCAGGCTGCCTTAAATTCATTGTGCAGCGTACCTCCAACAGGCAGCAGTCCTTCTTCCCCAGAGGCATGCATCTCCATACCTGGCCAAACCACTCATTTTAAAGGAAGAAAACTTCAGCCAAAGGGAGGGCGGGCCTTTCCTTGTCCCTGTGAAGAGACGGCGTAGGTGTGGGATCCTCAGGAGTGGGACTTCTGGGCTTTTAACTTGTCAGGCCAACTGCAACTGCGTTGTGCATTTTAGAGTTCAGGCAGGGTGCACCCGCACATCATACTGTGTGATTTGTCATGTGCATATACAAATGATAGGTAAGTGTAGTGTATTAGTGAACTTTAGACCCTATTATAAGACTAACAAAATGTCCCCTGAGAATCCCAAGCAGATGAGGACCCAGAGATGGCATGAGGCTCAGGTCCCTGCTAGGTAGACACCCAGGCTGAAGACCCAGGGAACATAGCCGGATTTAAGGAGAGAGAACTGTGAGCTATGTCATGTTGCCCCACAGATATGCTCAGTATCTGGCTTTGTTCCCCAGTTACCGAGGCAGATGTTAAAGTGTCCTGAAAACCCTGCAGGGCTTCTTTTGTCCCCTAAGTAGGGTGGATTTGTTGATGGCAAAGTTTCCAAGAGAGTTTTAAAGTAAGGCATGCTCCAGCCCATACCCCAGGAGTTCCAGGGCAAAGGTCTCAGTGTCCATACTAAGGAGAGTGCCACCCTGGGCAGAGCAGTGCTCTGAAACTGTGGCCATCTGGCAAGACATGTGCTGGCAGGGTGAAGGGCAGGGCTCACTCATGGCCAGTAAGCCCCTCAGATCTCAGAGTTCGAGGGGTGAATGGCCCTGCTTACATTCTATCTGGATTGGCACTTGTGTTGGTCCTTATTGTAATCGAATAACTATTATGAGCAAATAACTGCCAGGTCCTTGTTATTGCTCTGAATTGCCAGGGGTCAGATGCAGGGTTGTTTCTCCCTACTAAGAAGCAAGAGATGGCTCAGTCTGTGAGGACCAGAAGATCCCAATGCCCAGGCAAAGAGCCAGGTCAGCAGCTGCTGTTTTCCAGTGCTTAGGGCTGTACTAAGTGCTTTTCCTGAAGTCTCATTTTATTTAATAACAAACTGTATGTGTTCTTCCTGGTTTGCTGACAGAGGTGTCTCTTGGGGGAGATCAAGGGACTAAGCTGGGGCTTGGAGCCAGGATTCATACCCAGGGCTGCCTGCTCCAAGGCTGTGCCCTGCTGCAGTGTCCCAGAGACTCGCACGTGAGCTGCCCACTGTGTCCAGGCATCAGTGTAATACGGATGGAACTGCCCATTTTTAGTCCCATTTTTACTCACTGCCTGCACTGGCCACAGCCACCATTGATACTAGTTTCTCCTGGAGCTCCCAGAGGCAGGAACTCTGCTAAGAAAATGCCTGGTGGAGGCAGGCAGGAGGGAGTGTGTGAGGGCTCGCTAAGGGCTGGAGCCTGTGCAGACTTGTGAGGGTCCGGATGGGAACTGGGGAGGACATTCCAGAAGGGTGAGGCCTACAGAAATAACTGGGAGGGCCTGAAGTAGGATCTGTGGAAGATTTTATGAGAAGACGGCGGAAGGTGGGCTGAAGCCGCTTACGGAGGGCACTGGAATTTAGATTTTAATCAGCGTGTAGAGACATGTAATGGTCTTCCTCCTGCTGCTCCTGCCTGTGAGAACGGGATGACCTTATCCCCTGGGAGTGTGGGCTGGTGAGTGTCTGCAGGTCTGCGAGGGGCTGTAGCCATTCTGAGCCTTGGTCAGGTTCTGGATCTTCTGTGTTCCTAAAGAAGTTACAGTCCTGGGGGTGAGGATGGGAGAAGAGATACTTCTGCCCTATCCCAGGATTTCCAGGGCCATAGAAGTCCCCCAGAGCAAGGATGTCATTAGGTGGCTGAGACCTGGAGGCCCTGTTTACCCTTGCCCCCAACTCCCATCCTGCCCTGCAGACTCAGATATGCAGGCACAAAGCAGATCCCCTTACCACTCCCAGCCCCTGTGAGGCTAAAGTGGAAAACAAATGAAACGTAACCTTCCAACACTGCTTCCCCAGCGTGCTGTGAACATTCCCGCCACTTTCTGACGCAGTGTGGAGGTCCTCTTTCATGACTATCTTTAGCTGAGCTGTTGGGGCTGCCCTGATACCCTGAAACAGTGCAGTTCGAAACAGTTACCTTTCGTGGGCATTTTGACTTGCAGGAAGAAGCAGAAGTCACACAGTGCCAGGATCTGTGAGTAAAGCAGATGAGACGCCTCACAGTGTGTCTGGAGCCTGCCCTTCCTTTGGGTGGCACCTGCGGTAGCATTCACTGCATTTTGGGTCACACCTCATGAAAACATTCACAAAAGTAGACTTCCAGAAGAATTGCTTTGGAAAGTGACAGAAACAGTGACATAAGTGTATTTAAAGTGTATTTTGGAGGGGCAGTAATGGCAATGTCTTTTACTATACACATTTTTAAAATTTAAACCTTCACCGTGTATTCTAGTCAGACCTCGAATTTTCCCTTTACTGGTTGCATCCTGAAACCTGGCACGTTAGATCTCTTATATTCCCTACTATTTTACTTGAGATGAAAGGGTGAAACCAGACTTTCTGAAATTCATCCATCTAATCCAGGATTATGATGACTGTAAAAAAGGGCCACTCTGTCCCCTTGACCTCCCTGGCCAGGAGAAAAACAGCAGTTCTCCTGACCTCCTGGCTGTGACGGGAGGTGAGGTCCTTCCTCCAGGAACCCGTTCTAGAAGGAGAGACCACAGCAGGAGGGGACACACCGTGCTGCTGCCCTTTGTCCTTAGGACACTGTGACTGGAGAGCAGAGGGAAGGACCCCCTCCAGGGGAATCTGCTGCTCTCCGAACTCCCCAAGGAAAGGCCTCTGAGACCCCACCCACAGCAGGGACATGGCTGAAGACCCAGACTCACAGGGCGGAAGTGGGTCTGCTTGTCAAGCAGGAAATCAAGCTGGGAGGAAAAGCACCCTGGCACCCCATTCCTGTGCCCTCGCTGCTGAGGCAGTGAGCTTCAGAGACAGGCTTTAGGACAGTGGAAAGAGCTTTCCCCTCTTAGGTAGGAGTGGCCCTTACCTGGCCATGTGCTGACAGAAAGGATCCCAGAGGAACCCTAAGAGCTGGGTTTGAGGGTTATTGTCCATGACACAGAGGGGTCAGCTGAGTGCCCTTGGGGAAGGTAAGGGCAGATTAGACTGAAAAGTCTTGCTCAGAAGGATAAGGTGGAAACCCACCTCCCTGGAGAGTTTGAGTGTCCGGGATGTGATGATGGAGGTGCATGTTCCATGCCTCTCAGAGAAAGACCATTTTCCTTCCCCAGGGCTGATTGGTGTCCTTCTCCAGGGTGCACAGTGACCGTGGGCCACCTGCTCTGCTGACCTTGGCTGCAGTCCGTGAAGGTGGCTGCTCCTCTTCTCCCTGCTCAGAGGGTTACTGCATGGATGCCTCCAGGCACCTAAAAAGCCTGCTTTTCTAATCAGTGGAGAAACTAGATTTGTCTGCCAGAAACTGATACAAGGCAGCTGATGGAAAAGGAAAAAAGAGCAAAAAAAACAAAAAACAAAAAACCAGCAACAGCTCCAAAAGGAAACAGCAAAGCTGAAAAATAGCTTAAAAACCTGGGGGCAAGGCTGATCCTGGCAGCATCTGGCCAGCTGCCTAGGGGCCCTCCTGCCTGCCCACCAGACCTTGTGACAAATGCCCTCCGACAGCCGGAGAACCACAGCTGTCACCGGAAGGCTCCGAGGGCTCGGGCTGGCAGCCAGAGGCCTGTGGCTGCAGGGGCACCTCTCCGGGCTGGTAACCTCATTATCTGTGCTGGCGGAGCAGGAGCCCCAGGGAGCACAGCTGCTCTCAGCCGCATGTCAGGGGAGCTGCCTGCTCTGGAAGCTGTGCAGGGGGGCCTCTCCTGCCAAAGAGGCCTTCTGGGGCAGCAGGCCTGGAGATTCACTTTTACCACTCCAGTGAGGCTCTTCTTCCAAACCTGGCCTGAGCCCTGCCAGGGTTCGTAGGCACAGATGGTGCCTTTATGCTAGCAGATTTTCCCTCTGGCCCCAGAGTAGGATTAGAGGAAAATAATGAGAAGAAAAGAAAAAGAAAATCAGTCTCCTCAGAGCTTGCCTGGTCATGTCCTAAAACGCCGTCTCCCCAGAGCCTAAGTTGTGCCTTTGTCCACTTGTGTCTGACGCAGCAAACATCCTCTGCTCCAGGTGAGGCCCGTACTCCCACTAGTGTATATTGTGTGGGCCGCAGGTCTGAGATCCAGGTCTGGCTGAGCCTCTGGCTGCCTGAATTTTTCTTTCTGTGGAGGATACACAGCACATATGTGTCCTCGCCTCCTTGTGAGGACACTGAAGTTACATCGAACAATGGGTCTGACCACAGCCATAAATGTCTTTCGCTTGCCGTGAGACCCAAGAAGGGGAGAGGACAGGGTCTTCCGGTGGGCCAGCCGTCGTCTGCTCTGCTCTTATTTGCTTTTAATTGATATTCGACCTTGAGCGAGTTGCCGGTGTTCCTCTCCGCACTGGACCCCCTCATCTGTCAAGTGGAGAGAACACCTGCCCTTGTCCAGCCTGGCCGGGGAGAGTGAGCTCCACAGAGAAACTCTTTGTCAGGGGGAGGCAGTGGGCTGCTGTTACTGCTGTAACCCGGTGTGGGCGGTCTGTCACATCGGGAGACAGCTCTGGAAGGGAGTGTCTGTCATTTCTGCAGCTCTGGACTGGGGCAGCGCATCTGGTAGGTGAAGGGGCTGCTACAAGACCCTTGTTATTATGAAAATCGAGCCATTTGCCCGCTTGGTTTGGGTCCAAACCAATTTCTCTCAGTCCTGAGTCTGGGAACCCTGAGCTGATGCCTGACAGGTTTGGGTTAGGATCGAGGCAAGAAGACCCAGGGACTTGTAAAAATGTCCTTCTCCCACAGGACACAGCTAGGAGGAGCAGCACCCTGATGCCACGTGAGCTCAGGGTGGTGCTGGGTGTGCCGCATGGGCGTGTGTGTGTGTGAGTGGGTGCTGAGAGGCAGAAGGAGACAGGGCGGTGACCGTGGAAAGACCATCTGTCTGGGCACAGGCCCAGCCCCACAACCTCAGGCCCTTTCCTCCTCCTCCCCCAGATAACTCCTGCCGTCTGGCCAGGGAAGGAACAATAGATAATCTGGAGACTTCCCTACCCTCTTCTAGATCCTCCTGGGGTCTCTGCCTCCGGTCCCTGAGCAGATGTCCAAGTTCAGGCCAGCCCCGAGCCCTGACTGGAGCCGCTCAGGGCGGCCTGCTGTGTGGGAGCCGGAGGGGAAGGCTGACCGCACAGGGCTTTTCCTGGCAGAGCTGCAGCTCGACACTGCTAAAGCCCTCTTAATCCATGTTATTTTCTTCTAATCTCTCCCCCGCCTGCCCTGGCCTGTGTGCCACCCTGTAGGACCTTTGGTCCCAAGCCGGAGGCTGTGCCGAGCTCCAGTAATGAGGATGCCAAACATCTGCTGCAGTGTGCCCGAATGAAGGCCAGGACCCGGCCCCTCCGTGCCAGCCATGACATTGTGCCCACCATTGCTCAGGGCAGCCGGTAAGTGGACCCAAGCCAGGCTGGCCTGTGGAGGCTGTGCAGGAAGGGGACGGCAGTGAGAAGAGATGAGATCTAGCCAAAAATGCGACTCCTTCCTTCTCCTTTCTGTTTTCTTTGTCAGGCACTTAACTATGATTGTTTAGTCAGTCAGCATCCCTTTATGAGTGTCACTAATTGAGATACAGAGATCAGTGAAACGTGGTAAGAGGCCCCTGGAGACATGGAGATCACAGTCTTCAGGGAGAAAGACAGCCAGGCAGGCTCTCAGTTCTGTGGACTGTGCTGTAAGAGAAGAACAAGCATTCTGAGGTAGAAACCTGTACCACCTGGAAAGGGGAGGCTCTCCAGAGGCGATGGCTTCTCAGTTGGGGCTTGCAGGACACTCAGATGTTCGCTGCGCAGAGAGGCAAGGGGTAGAAGCCATGAGTGCAGCACTGTGCAGCCGGGCTGGAGGTCAGCATTCTGGGATGCATGGCGTGAAGGCCAGAGAGCTCAGGAGAGCGCGTTCGTGGAGGCCTTCTGTGACGGCAGGAGCCACCGAAGGGCTTGAAGCGGTGAGTTACACCGTGGTGTTGCATTTCAGTCCTGCCATCCTGGCTACAGAGATTATGTTGAATCCAGGAGACTGGGACGGAGAGGAGGCTGCTGCCTTGAGCCTGGCAGGGGTGCAGGATATGGAGACCTCCAAATGAGCCCCAGACGGAAGCCAGTTAATGAGGCGGCAGAGAAATGATAACCCAGAACAGATTTGCATTCTGGCTGTGCCACTCTGTGTGCCTTTGGGGACGTCTCTGTGTCAGTTTCCTTCTTCTCAAGACAGTAGTTACTGCAGCGCCTGTCTCCCGGCTTGTTGTGAACATTGTATGGCCTGACTGACAGCGTCTGGCACGTGATGAGGGCTGTGGGTCTGTTACATGGAGTCCACAGTCATTTGATGACCCAGAGGTGGAAGGCGGAAGAAGAGGCATCCAGGACAGAACCTAGGGGTGTGACTGTTGTCTGGGCATTGGAGGGCCCTAGCTAGTGGGGAACACCTAGGTATTGGGTCACACTTTGGAAGGGAGGTGCCCTGGAACATCCCCTGGAGACATCTGTCAGGCAGTTGGATATAGGATCTTTAGAGTAGAGATTTGAGTTTATCTCTGATGTCGTGACCCTGGGTGAACTCATGAGGGAAGATGAGATGGGACAAGAACGGGGCAGGCACTTTTGAAGACCAGCACATCACACACATGATCACTCCCCCCACCCAGGGACACAGCCCACCCTGGTTGGTGTGCCTTAAGGAGTCTCATACCTGTGGCACTCCCCAGCACAGAGCCAGCCTCTGGGGTACTCCTGGGCTAGAGATGAGGCTGCTGGGGGACTTGACAGATCTTCCCAGGCCCCAGTAGACCACCTCCGTAGACAAGGCCTGTGACTTCACTGGCACGGAGCGGGGCACACTGGATCTGCCTATGTCATCTCCACTGGAGCAAATAAGGGCTCATTAAAACTGGATCGTATGCTCTTGGGATGCTGAGGCCAGCCATTAAAGGTTAAGGACAAGGTTAAGGACCTTCACGGAACCACTGATGATTCCATCATGTGTAGATACCACTGCGTTCAGTATCATTCTGCCCTTAGGAGACACTGAATACTGGTAAGAGGTACCAGGCATGCTACCCTTTTATTTCACATTTGTCCCTCATCTCTCCCTCGGGCAGAGGGTAATCATTAGGAATGACATGGCTTCTTGGAGGGATCCTAGCCGTTCTTCATATATGATGAGGAGAAGCCTGAGACTTCCAAGGAATTCTGTCCCACCTTCTGTAGGTATCAGACTGGTTCAGGGAGCCACGAAGCAGGCAAACCTATCTGCGAAACAGACTTAATTGTATGCATGCCCTCTAGATACTTCCTCTTCTCCAAGTCGCCCCACCACCTCACAACAACCCCAATCTCTATTGTAAAGTAGGTTCCTTTTTCCTGGCTGTAAAAATGCAAGGTGACCTACTTTAGCAGCTGCTCTGTCCAGAAAAGAATTACTATGCCTTGGCAGTGCTGGTGAATCCTCAGAGGGTATAGCTGAAAAATCCATGCCAGATGGCTTGCTGCAGCTGCTTCTAAAGGTTACGCTCCATCAGAGCGCCCTGGAGGACTGGGCAGAGTTAATACAGCAATGCCACCTGGGCCCCAGGCCTCAGCTAGATACTGGAACCACCAGCTTGGATGTATCGCTCCCTCCAAAGAGCAGCTTGCCAAGAGATGGAGGGGAAGGAGGGGCAGGCAGAACAGTGAATAGAAAGTGTGCTTGTACGTGTGTGCACGCGCGTGTGTGCAGGCGTGCGTCTGTGTTACTAGAGATTGAACCCATGACCTTTGCACTGAGCTACATCCACAGCCCTTTTTCATTTTTTACTTTGAGACAACTTTTGCTAAGTCTCTAAGTGGCCCAAGTTACTAACTTGTTCAACCTGTGCTTGAATTTTTCATCCTTCCTTGACTGCCCAGAATATGTAGTACGATTTCAGGTGTCACCACCACACCAGGCTAAGACACCAGTTTTGTGGCAGGCTCTGGGGCTGCAGAGCTGAGGAAAATATGGCCCTGCCCTATGAGATGCCTTCTTCCTTGGCTCTGGCTGAAAGGAATCTGCAGGAACCTGAACACACAGGTCTTTTCCAGGAGGTGAAGAGGCAGAGGTAACTGCATTTGCTGGAAGCAAATCAACGTAGATATTGAGCAGGTCTTGGAAGCAAAAGCTCGTAGGATTTGGGGGAATGGAAAGTTGGTATTCTTATCCCCAAAAGGGCAGGACAGGTCAGCAAGATGCATCCTGGGAAGATGACATAAGTGGCACCCTAGTAAGATGGTGACCACATGAGACCATACGGCTTGCGCACATCACACTGATTGTGTGGTTAGGACAGCACTGTCATAGAAAGTGAGACCCCAGGGAGGGGCTCCTCACAAAGGCCGCACAGCTCCAGAGCTAGAGCAGAAGCCTGACCTCAGACCAGAATCCTTTTGTCGAGGGACGATTGCGGAGGCCTCTGTTGGGCAGCCAGGGGGTTTACCTGCTGCTCGGCTGCCTTGTGTGCTCTGCTGTTGGCTCCAAGGTACTTGCCCCACTTTTCACACTGTTGCTAACACAGTGGTGTCTGGGTTTAGTATTTAGGCTGATGACACCTTTTGTGATTAATCTGTCCTTCGGTTCTCCTTCTCCCTTTAGAGTTAATTCTGGGATGGCTCAGTTCACCATCCTGTATGTAAAGATTAAGACCATGGCTCACAGGGTGTAAGCTGTGTGCAGTCTGCTGCGGACCTTGCCTGCATAGACCGTGCCCCGAGGGCAGCACCTCTGCTGTCGCCTCTCGGAGTCCCTGCTGGCTCTAACGTCCGGGTGTGTGGAGGCAGCTGAATGGGGCAGGTGTTCACCGAGGCCTTCACTCACTGCTGTGTGGCAGAAGTCAGGGTTGTCCAGAGAAACACAACCTCTGGCATGTGCACATGAAGGGCGTTCACCTGTGCACTCAGGAGAGCCAGGTCAGTGCAGCAGGTGAGGCCAGAGGTGGTCTTTGCTGGCAGAAGCCCTTCTTGCTCCAGGAGGTCCATCTAATCTCTTGAGACCCACCCACATCATGCAGAATGATCTACTTTATTCAAAGCCCATCAAGTTAAGTATTGATCTTAACCCTCCCTGAAAATAATCTTCACAGAAACTTCCAACATAGTCTTTAATCAAGTATCTGGATACTGCAGACTGGTCAAGGTGACACATAAAGCTAACTATCACACATGGTATCTATATAGTGGGTGACTTTTAATAAATAGGAGTCAAATTCAGGTGGGCGAAAGAAGATCCCAGGAAATGAGGGCCCCATGAAGTGGACAAGGCCCGCAGGCTGCAGCCCTCCGCGTGGGGGGGACATAACTGAAGAGGAAAGTAGGGAGGGTTGTGAAGGACCTGTCTTCATCGCAAGGACCGTCACCGCATCCTGTGTCCTCTGGGGTGCTGTGATGAAAGCTGGTAGAGGGAGTCATTACAGGATGAATACTAAAGAAACCATAAATGAGAAACAAAGGGGACATGGAACAGCAGTGGAATAGTGGGGAGGCGGCTGGAGGAGAAAGCGGGGAGAATATGGGCTTTATTTAAGTGGCTTCTGATAGGAAATAGCCTCTGGGGCAGAGCCCATGTGCATAAGGACCCCAAACCCAGGCTGGATGGCTCCAGGGTCCCTGGAGTGAGCACTGTGTGTGGCAGAGACGCTTCTGAGGCCAAGCAGGACTTGAGCTAACAGTACACACGGAGACTCTGCCACCGGCTCACAGCAGGAGCAGGGTGGGAGTGTGGGAGTGAGGCAGCCTGGGGGTGTTGGGAGAGTCAAGGCCGGAGGCCCAGGAGGAACATTGTTATCTCTATGTGAAGCAAGGTGATTAGGAATACTGAGTGGAAACTTTGGGTCAGGAATGCTTAGATGTGCTCAGCCAGTCCTCACTTCTCATGAGGACTTTATATCAGTTGTCCCCAGTATCTCAGACTCCAGAATATTGAATCTTCAAACCCCTTACATAAGATGGTGCAGTATTTGCATATAACCTAGGCATCGCCCCCGTACTTATAATGCCTAATACAATATAAACGCTGTGTAATAGTTGCTATGTTGTGTTGTTTAGGGGATAACTGCAAGAATAAAAAGTATACATTCAGTGCAGATGAACTTTTCTCAGATATTTTCACTATATGCTGGGTTGAATCCATAGACGTGGAACTCACTGATAGAGAAGGCTGACTGTAGATATTTCCACAGCTTACACACACACACACACACACACACACACACACACACACCCCTCACATTTGGAATGTTTGATATTTTCCTTATCTGCTGTCCTGAGTTCAGTAGTTCAGGCTGAGTCAGGCAACCGAGGGAAAGCCCAAAGTAAAAGTCATGCTGATTTTACTTAGCACTGTGTGCCGGGATCTGGCTGGGCTGATACTCTGCTGTTTGCCACTTGACTCCCTGGGACCCTGGTTTGGGGTGGCCTTGTAGGTCGTACCTCCCATGGAGCACTAGGGGAGATGGTATCTTTCTACCTATGACCTCTTTCCTGTCTTCATTAGAGCTGGCTGGAGAAGTCTGGCCCTGGGTCCCCAGATGACCTTCCCCTGTGGAGAAAGCCTTCAGAGCAGCAGCCTGAGTGACTCCTCCAGTGGGGAGTCCAGCAGTGGGCAGTGGCCCAAGCAGGGCATGTCCCCGTCACATGTCCGCTTTGAAGATGAATCTGCTTGTGAAGCTGAATTCCGCCACCTGGAGCGGCTGCAGCAGCGCCAGCGCCAGCGCCAGGTGCTGGGCACAGTGCTGCAGGCTGCAGGCCAGGGCCCCCTGCGCTCCAAGCCAGACCTCGCAGACTATGTGAACCGGGAAGTGGGGATGGGCACGTTCCACAGGCCAGGGGACAGTGTGGACTGCAGGGGCCACCCTCTGCTGCTGCCCAACTGGGCCAGTAAAAAGAAGTGCCAAGCTTGCGGCAACTGTCCTGAAAGGCAACACCTGGACCCAGCTGTTCTCGAGGACCTTCAGGCTGCTTATGGGGTAGAGGGCGTGCTGCTGGGGTCCCATGGTTCTCGTGGCCTGACCTCCCCATGCCAGCTCCTCCCTGCTAAATCAGAGCTCCACACAGAAAGGATCCAGGAAACACATATTGGGGAGACCATCACATGCCTTGCAGAGGGGGACTCTGCCCTGGATAGTACGGACACTTCAGACAGCTGCCGGTCAGACAGTATGGAGGCCACAGCCTCTCTGGCCTGCAGAACAGGCCGGCGGACTCGAGGCAGAAACCCTAGAGATTGGGACTCCAGGCCTCAGGGAAGCCTCAGGTGGTCCAGGAAAGCCAAGATGGAGCTGCTCTGTGGCCTTCAGGCTTGGCATCACCCCGTAGGGGCAGATGACATGGAGGTGGGAGAAGATGCAGGACACATGGCTGCGGGGACTCAGTTTTTTAAAGCAGATACTGTCTTTAAGCCTCCTCCCTTGGAACCTGAGATGACTTCCTTGGGGTCCCACAGGCAGCCTGGACCAGGGCTAAGAAATCACCAGATTCCCTCTGTGGACTCCTGGGCTCCATGCAAGTCAGCCAGTGCCACGACATTTTCCACGAAGCCAGCACCTTCAGGACCAGGCAGACCAGAAAGCCCTGAGTATCTGGAAACAGTCTGCACTTCCTCCCTGCAACAAAATCATTCAGTACACACTGCCCCCAGCCCAACCCAGCAGCCAACCGTGCCCCCCTCCCCTGAACAGTGGGTACCAACAAGAACCACCTCCTGTGTGCCTCACGGAAAGGCAGGGCTGGCTGGACCCTACAGGCCAGAGGAGCAGGAGGAATCTGTGGGTATTCCTCGGCCACCATCTGCTCCGAGGACTGTGGTTCTCCAGACCTGTGGGCTCAGCTCCCCACAGACCCAGTCCTGCATCCCCCACGTCAGGCACCCACTGCTGGGCCTGTCTGCCAACAGCTGCATTCCTCTGGGGCAGCAGCAACCCCAGCGAACAGCTGCGCACAGGGGCAGAGAGGAGAGGGAGCCCTGCAGCCAGCAGCCGGATCCACCTTTGGAAGGCAGCGGAGATGGTAAGGCTTGCATGGTCCCTGCTCAGGCCCAAGTCAGGTTTATGACGCTCGAGGCATTCTGTCTTCACTTACCAGCATCTTCTTGGCCAGATGAGATAGACACACACCATCCCAGCAGCCCCTGGGAGCCAGTCTGAGGAGTGACAAGTGTCGGGCAGCTGTGGAATCTGGGCTGGACAGGACTGTGGGGAAGGAACTGGAGATGCCCGTAGAGCACTGGGAAGCCCGAGGTGTGAATGGCAGGGCTCTCTGGCCAGAGCCCTCCTGAGCACTGCCCTGCGGGGCTCACTGGTAGGTTTCCCAGGCAAAGCTGCTAAAGTAGGTAGGGTATCCCCTCTTTATCCGGGGCGTTGGTAGACCCCCAGCACTGGTCCCAGATGACCAAGTAGACTGCTTACCCCTGAGCAGAGTTAACAGCCCCCACAGTATCACTTTGATGTTCTGTGGCTCTGATGGCCTTGGAGCTGGGGTCCAGGGCTTGGAGCAAAGTGGAGGCAAAGGCGGAGAGATGGCAGACAGCCCCCATCTCAGGAGTGCCCACCTCTCCCTTCCTTACCCACAAAATCCCAAAAAGTCCTGGCCTGAGGTGTCTCTCACCCCTGCACAACTGTGGTTCCTTCTCTCTGGAAGGCTTAGGCAGGGGCTGGCTTGCCACTATCTGCTCCCTACAGGGCTTTTGTCTGGAGGCCTGGTGACTTGTGGGCGGCCCAGGCCCGCTTGTCCTCCAGCCTGAAGCAGGGAGTGAGTGAGGCCCCTCTCTTAGCTGCGAGGCCCCGAGCGAGTTGCTCACTTCCTCCTGGCGCCATCCCCTCCACTGTAAGGTGGGGATGGAAGGAAACCTGCCTCTTGAGAAAGCTGTTTGTCCATCTGTGGGGGCCAGTTAACTCGTGGCCTGGCATGTACACATACGCATTATTGTCAAAGCTGTGAGAGATTCAGATTCTCTTTCTGTTTGAGAAACATGAAATATTCCCTTGCTCTGTTATGTCACTTGATATCCAAGGGGCTGGAATTACCACAAGCGACGCTGTCATTTCGGAAGAATGTACTGTTTACTGTGTACCAGGGTACTGTGCTGGGTGATGGGGTTGCCGCAGTCCCCAAGACCCAGTCCCTGTCCTCAGATGGTTTCCGGTCCAGAAGACGCTCGGGGAGGGTCCCGGAGTCCCTCTCACTTGCTGCTTCCTGCGTCTCTCCGCTTGCCTCCCAAGCTCCATCACTCTATCATGTCCCTCACTCTCTTGTTTCTGAACCCAGGAGTGCCCCCATCCCCCACTGTGACTGAGCATGACCAGTCTGACCATGCTTTGACTGTTTCAGGAGGATGCCAGGGCGCTGTCAGCTTAGCAGATGCTGCTGCCTTCAACTCCATGGGCGTCACCCTCACCCTGAACTCCGAGGAGCCCAAGAGAGGCCTGCAGAGGACGGAGTCCAGTTCTGGGGGGCATGTGCTGTCCGGGTGAGTGATCAGAGTAAGAGTCCTCAGTGCAAGAGTAGGTGCTGGGTGGGGGCAACCCCTGAAGTGGCGGCACAGCTGACCTTGCTGCTTCCACTCTGTCCCAGCCCAGTCCCCTAACGCTTTTTCCCTAGTTCTTAGTCTGATGCACCTGCTTATCCATTCACTGGACACTCCTGTGCTGGGCATGGGGCATGGCTGTCAGGCTCTGTCCTCAAGGTGCCCCCCAGGGACCTGGCTGTCTGGAAGAATCTCCTCCTGATCCTCGGCTTGGGGACATCCAGACTCCAAGGAAATCAACCCAGGGTTCATGTTTCCCTTCTCTCTGTCAGCTGAGTCTTTGTCCTTGGGACCTGCTTGGGCTGACCTCAAAGCCTCGGGGAGCCCAGGACCTTGTCCTCCCTGCTCGCATTGGGTGCCCAGTGACCATGTGCAGTCCAGGCTTCCCCTGCCGGCTCCCGTCTCCAGGCCTGTGTGCTGTTCAGTACCATGGGTCTGTTCATCCAGGGGCTGGGGCACCCCTCCATCAGGCTGACTGGTAGCCCCTCACATCTCCAGTGTCGCCTTCCTGGTAGACGCACTGCTGAAGCCCAGAGGTTGCTGTGTCCTCCCACTCTGACACTCCAGCAAGGCCTCACCAGCTCCCAGTCCCTGCTTCTGCCACCTCGGGTCTCAGCTGTGTTCCTTCTTTGCTGTGCAGCCCTAACACGGCTCCCTGTGTGCTCTCCACACAGAAGTCAAGGCACCTTTTTAAAACCCTAACCTGTGTCATTCTCCTACTGAAAATCCTACAGTGGCATCACATCTTTCCTTGCCTGTGCCTCCCCTGAGCCCTGCCCAAGATCTCATTGCCTGTGCCCAAGCCCTGTGGCCTTTGTTCTCGGACACAGCAAGCCTGCTGCCCCCTGCGCCTGCAGTTGTCGCCTGGGCCTGGCAGCCTGCCCCCTACTTACCCTCCAGCTCTGGGTTTAAGGATCATCTCAGAGACCTTCCTCGGCCCTGGTAACTTTCTGCTTCACCCCAAAGGCCAGTTGCTGATGTTTTTCTTCCTCTGCTGACTGGTCTCTTGTTGATGAGCTACTAGGAGCAAGGACCTTGCTTGTCTTATACACAACATACCCAGGGACTAAAAGAGGCTTTTAAGAAATACGAAACAAAACAAGAAAAGCAGGGCAGGGGATTTAGCTCGGCGGCATAGGCGTCTGCTTGGAAAGCATGAGGTTGTGAGTTTGATCCCCGGTACCAAAAAACCAAACAAAACAAAAAAATTAAGAAAAGAAATGTGAAATGTGAACTGGGTGCAGTGGCACCCCTCCCTGGAATGCCAGCACTTGGGCAGCCCAGGTGGGAGAATCCCACAAGCTTGAGGCCTCACAGTGAGCTTGGGCTACCTAGTGAGTTCACAGTCAGCCTGGCCTACACAGAAAAACCTTGTCTCAAAAACAAAACAAAATAAAACAAGAATGCAGAATGAGTTTAGTGCGTGCTCGCATGAATGAATGGGTGTGTATTTACAGCAGGGCCTCGTGTGAGATCTCCCTAGAAGCTTCCCAGGAAAGACCATCCATCACCACCACCCCCACCTTTCCTGCAGCCTGGTTATCAGTTTCTCCCACAGAGCATTAGTGTGGGCCCATCTGGGGCCCAGCAACCAGCCCTTGCCTCCCAGCCCACTCCACCCACGCTCATGTCCACTCTTGTGTTTCAGAGGATCACCAGGGGCCAGTGCAGGGCCCAGGCCGCCTTTGGCTGTGCCTTCTGACAGCAATAAAAAAAGGAGCAGCAGTATCGCCTCCACGCTGGGGCTGAAAAAGCTGTTTTCAGCCCTCGGGCAGACTTCCCGGCCCAAGCTGGGCAAGTCCCGCAGCTACAGTGTAGAGCAGCTGCGGCCCGACGCACCTGGCTCGGCGTCACACACCAGAACCCCAGAAGTAAAGAGAACCCCATCGCTACAGTCCCTGAATCTGGTGAGTCCTCAGGGCCCCAGGCAGGGGTGGTGAGGCCCGTGGTGGCGTGGCGCTGTGGGAGTGACGGGCACAAAGAGAAGAGAAGCACAGAGGATGCCTCCCAGGACCCACGGTAAGAAAGCAGAGATGCTGGCATGCCCACGGCAGGTCAGTGCAACCTGGGCACCCTGGGCACAGAGTGGGTAGCAAGCACCCCTGAGTTCTGTGCTTCTGCCAGCCACCCAGCCCAGCTCCCCGCAGACTCTTGCCTCCCCCTCCCTCCATGTCATCACCTCTGCCAACCAGAAGAGTCGCGGCCTGACCATTCTGGAGCCTTCTCTGTGACCACAGTGACTCTTTTAGTAGCGGTACAAATCACATCACATCTGGATTGCCTCTGCCTCTTTCCACGTGGCTTCCGTGGTCTTTCTGATATGCAGCTCTGACTCCGACACCCCCTGCTGACCGTGTGTCACTGGTCACTTGCCCCATTCAGGATAAAGCTGAGACTACTTAGTGTTGCCAAAGGGCTCCTGTGAGCTGGTCTCGTCTCTCACTACTCTCTCATCACCCTGGGTCTCAGCTGCGCTGTCAGCGGCTCAGGAGTCCCGAGGAAAGTCCTGCCCCCTGGGCGCCTTCTGCCCGCCTTCTGCTCCTTGTCTCCCCATACTCAGGCGCGCACCGTCAAGGAGTGGCCAGTCCCTCCCTCCTCCTGTTGAACGGGACCTTTGCTCTGCGTTGCTGGATTTCTCTGCTTCTATCTGTCATGGAACTTTTTACATAGTAGTTTAACTTTTGGCTTTGCCCTCTCCAGACCTCTGGACCATTATTTTCCCAGTACTAATTACAGTAGCTAGTGTGGTAGAGATGCTCAGTACATGCCGAGTTAGGAGAGTGCGTGGTGAAACCGGGGCCCTGGCTGAGCCGTGTGCCAGCCTAGCAAACCGAGCACAGCGAGTGAACTCTCCAGTGGTCTCTGGAAACCCTGTCCACTAGATTCCAAGTAGGTCCCTCTGTCTCCTGTGTCTCTCCTTGGGCAAAATGAGGGAGGTGAGTGTGGGCTGGGGCCCAGGAGCCTTTCATTTCTCAGGCTGCAAGAGGAGGAGAATGTGCCAGATTGAGACTCCCAGGGACTCCTCTCTCCAAGGACACTACCCAGCGCATGGTCATTACTCAAAACACACGGCGTGCAGAGTGCCTGGGAGGCAGAGAAACAGGCAGAGGGGCGTGCTGGAGAGAAGGGCAGCCACTGTGACTCAAGTTCACTGCTTCCATGAACTTAGGTGGTCCAGTGTGTGTCTGATGACCTGGATTTACTGTCATCCGAGCTTCAATTTCTGTAAACTCCGTAAGGGGAATGATAGTGTTGTTCATGTAACAGAGGTTTACAGAAATTTAAGCTGATTTATCTTGAGCAGAGATAGAGAGCAGCCTGGCCAAGATGGGCCGGGAGGACCTGCGGAAGAAAAAGTTCCTGAGAGAAAAGGAGACTCTGTCTCACGGAGGACTGATGTCCTCCGTGTCTGGGGAGAGATACCTCTGGTAGTGAGTTGTGCTGCCACACGTGTTATTTGGTGCTTCTCTGATTGGGTTTTTGTTTTGTCTCAAGTGGGCAACCATCTTCCCTTTACACTTAGACATCCCAGTGGCCCCCACCAGGGCCTCCAATCCTGTGTCAGAAGGCTTCCCTTTTCCCCCATTCCCCGGGAAACTTCTGCTGTCCTTTAGGTCTTACTTGGATGTGACTTCTGCCAGGAAGACTTCTGGGGCCAGATCCAAGCTCAGGCTCCCCCGGAGGCTACTGGGTAACACGCCTGCCTTCTTCTTTTTTTTTTTCTTTGGTCTTTTTTGTTTTTTTTTTTTTTTTTTTTTTTTTGTCCTTTTCATTTTTCTCGGTACCAGGGATCGAACTCACGACCGCCTGCTTGCAAGGCAGGTGCTTATGCCGCTGAGCTAAATCCCCAGCCCCTTTTGTTTTTATCGGTACCAGGGATCGAACTCACGCCTGCCTGCTTGCAAGGCAGGCATTTATGCCACTGAGCTAAATCCCCAGCTCCCTACGCTTGCCTTCTTTAGAGCACTTCTCAGTCTATCTGTGCTGCTGTAACAAAATTCCATGGAACAGGTGACTTGTACACAACAGAAACTTACTGCCAGCCGTTCTCTAGGCTGAGAGAGTCCCAAGGTGCAGGCGTAGGCAGTGTCTACTGAGGACACCTGTCACCTCACACGGCAGAAGGGGCAAGGAAGCTCTCTAGGGCATCTTCGTGCCGCTAGGACTCTGTCTTTGTGACCTAATCACCTCTCAGGAGTCCCACATTCTTGGGATAAGTCTCAGTATGTGAGTTTGAAGGGGGCACCAACATTTGGACCACAGAAGCATGGGCTCCAGACATAATAAATAATGTGGGAAACATTTGTTTAAAAGTCGGTTCTTTCTGCCTCTGTCCCCAACCCTGCCTTCAGAATTGCCTCCTCACTGGGCTGTTTTCTAGAGCACAGATGGATCTTGCCCTGCTTGGTAACATCACTCAGTAGCGCCTTAGCAGGGCAGAACAGTCTTCAGGGCTGGCCATGCTTCTGGCCCATCTCCCACTATCCCCGAGGCCTCCACCGAGTTCATGTGTGTTCCAGAATGCACCGTGCCTTTGCTCCCTGCTCTGTTGCTGACTTCTGCCCGGAGCACTGCACCTCTCTGCCTGGGGAGCTCTTGCTTCGTTCTCACCCAAGCACCAGCCCCCGCAGGGCCCCAGGCCTCCTAAAGTGAAGTGTGGAGTTCCCACACCACTCACATGTTAACTCAGCACCTCATGCATGCGCCTGCAGCTTCCGGCTCACCGTGTGAACTCCTTGGGAGAATTTAATTTGTTCAGCTTTTTATGTACAATGTTTTAAGGTACACGCATACATAAACATTTTTGAACTGAAGTGACCATGAAAGAAATGCTAAAGAGGGCTGGGGATTTAGCTCAGCGGCATAAGCACCTGCCTTGCAAGCAGGTGGTCGTGAGTTCGATCCCCGGTACCGATAAAAAAGAAAAGAAAAAGAAATGCTAAAGAATTACAAAATATTCAAGATTTTACATCTAAAAGTGTGCTATTCTGTAATTAATGTGCTTTCATTTCCTTAGTAAGAAAATTAGATTTTTCCTATAGTCATATAGTCAGTATTTTAATATTAAGATGTTATTTTAGCTAAAATTAAAACAAAGGACAGCCGTGATGCTTCCTGTGACCTTTTCAGGCCCCTCTCCTGGAGTAGGTTCCACCGTTCCTGCGGAGCACTTGAGGCAGTGTCCAGAGTGGCCCCAGGTTCATGGTTGGGCCATGTCCTCTGCCAGCTCTTTCCCGGGAGGCTTTTCTCACCTGCAATATTGGGCTTTTCCCACCAGGTGTCACCCTCCCGCCAACATCGGAAAGCTGCCTCCTTTCAGAACCTCCATTCTCTGCTGAGTGGCAGGGGGGACCGGTCCAGCCTCTACCTGGTAGAGGCCGAAGGGAACCCCACTGAACCTGGGAGGTAAGCATGGGTACGGGTGGCCTGGAAGATAAATTTAGAGGGTGACCGGTGGAGCTAGAAGTGAGTTCCTTCTAGCTGGGCCTGGTGACTCTGCTTTATAATCTCAGCACTCGGGAGACTGAGGCAGGAGGATCCTTGTGAGTTCAAGACCAACCTGGGCTACAAAGTGAACTCAACATCAGCTGTGTAGTGAGACCCTGTCTCAAAAAGAAAAAGAAAAAGAAGTTAGTTCCTTCTTACCTCAGTATCACTGCCCTCTTTAAAAGGAAATGATAAGAGCCAGGTGTGCTCAGGGAGGCTGAGGCACGAGGATCCCAAGTCTGAGTCCAGCCTAGACAACTTAAGGAGACCCTGTCTCAAAAAATAGAAAGGGCTGATACGGTTCAGGGCTAGGCCTCAGTTCCTAGTACTGCAGAAGGGGGTGGGCGAGGTGGAGGAGGAAGTGAGGCGTGTTCCCTGTGCCTTTCCCTCAACAAATCCCGTGTGGAGAGACGGGTGGCACAGGAATCTTAGTGCTCTTGCCCTGCACTGAGAAGGTAGGAGGTTGTCAGGAGCGGGAGGGCTGGCTGGCAGGTTGGAGCCTCTCTCTTTCTGCTGTTTCATGATATCCTGAAGTCAGAAAGTTTGGGGAGCTCCCTTAGCCCAGCTAAAGTTGTAATTAAACACTCAGAGACAGAGCCCTTGACTCTGACCTCTGCTGGGGCCGTCTAGGCCAGCTGCTCTTACCCATGCATCTGTGGATGGACCCAGAAACTTTATATGAAGTTATATCTTATGTTAGGTCCCCAAAAGACTACTGAAAGCATTTAGAAGCATGCTTTAAGTGTTGGAGCTTTCTGGTTCTGTGGCTGGCTCTGAGGCACCTGGGACAGATTGTGGGGGACCCCCCAACCAGAGTGTTATTGGTGCTGGCTGGGCGAGTGGAGGTTCAGGGGAGCTCTGGCCTCCAGTGCCAGACTTGATGTCTGAGAGGCCGCCATCATCTGAATTTAAACAGTGGGAGGCTGGGCCCCCATGTCCAACCCTCTGCCCTCACTGTGTCTCTGGTCCTCTCCCAGGCCTGCCAAGGTCCCTCCCCGGCGCACCCTCAGCGTGGAGGATGTGGGCGCCCCCAGCCTGGCTCGCACCGTGGGCCGCGTGGTGGCAGTGTTCCCGGATGGCACGAGCCAGCTGCAGCTGGAGCGTTCCCCTGAGGGCACCTTTGGCTTTCAAGTGGGTTCCGGGAATGGGCGCAGGGACTCAGGTATGCACCTCCCCTTCTTCCATGGGCCCCTGTGGGCCTCTGGGTAGTGGTCAGATGGCCTGGTCCTTCCTGGTCTGAGTGGTGGTACTTTGTGGATTCAGAAATCCCTTGAGCCATAAGGTCCCCAGGGAGCTCCTCTGGTACCAGGGCCCTGGGAATTGGCACTGTGATGGCCCTGGTGACTATGATTCTGGGCTGGCAGAGTCGACCCCACTGTCCCCCTGCTGTCTGGTGGCACCCTGAGATCAGGATCTGGAAGACCATCTTTCCTCGGGGAGCCAGGGGAACTGCTTGTGCTTGCTGGCCTCAGCTCGCCCTTTGATGTGGTTGCAGCGTTCCAATGGTTCACTTGCTGCCGCTGCGCTCAGGCACGTAGAGTGCCTGCCTGCCTGTCTGCGTCCTGGCCACATCTTGCCCCCAGCTGGGTTGCCTTCTGGCCCTTAATTCAGCATGGGCAGGGGCACAGAGGGGCCCTGGGCCTCACTCTGCACTCCAGGTAGTCTTGTCCCATCCCACCCATGACCTTCCGGGTGACCTGACCCCTCTGGGTTCCACCCAAGATCTGTGAGCCAGGACGCAGTGCAGGCCAAGGGGCCCTGAAAGATACCCGCTAGAAGATGAGCAGGGAAGGAGGCAGCATGCTGGTGGAGGGGAAGGAGAGAAGAGACAGGAGGACACACTCAGGAGCCTGTTTGGCAGGGCGCCGCCAAGGATCCCCTTGCTGTGCTGTGATCCCCTGTCAGTTTTTTCTCCTAGAAAAGAAAAATCTTCCCGTCACCATGCCCGAGTTCTCACCTCTGTTGAATATTTCATTGTTTCAGCAGATAGATGCAGATATATGACTACCAAGTGCCGTAGATTTGGGGGTTCCCTGACCTCCTGAGCACATCTTCAGGGAGGGAGCAAAGCTATGTCTGTGATACGTTTACCCCTTGTGCTGTCAGATAGTGAAATGGAAAGTACTGAGATGCTAGTGCGGGCAGGCTTTTTAAAGGTGACACTTGGCCAGAGGTGGGGCTGGAGTGTGGAAGAACCAGCAGCGATGGGGGAGGGCATTGCAGGCGGCAGGCACAGCAGGTGAGGCCCTGCGGGCATGAGCTGGGAGGAGGTCCGGCCGCCGGAGGGGGCTGTTCCATCCCAGGGGCTCTGCGTGCTCCGCGGGGAGGGAGGCACTGAGGATTCTGGCAGATGTACTCCCAACTGGGGGAAAAGGTAGGCCCGGTGGAGCAGTTTTAGGGCTACTTCCTTAGTTTAGAGGGAGCTGAGGGTTGGCGTGGACGGGGTGGCTGTGGACCAGGTGAGGAGAGGGCGGCTTCTGCTGGATTTGTAGGTCGCTTTGGCCGAGTTGCTGAAGGAGGCACGAATGTGAGAAGACAGATCTCCCCCTCTGCACCTGCACCTGCACCTGCGGAGGGAAAGCGGCAGTCTTTGCAGGGAGATGACATTTGTGAGGTGCTCCCCAGGTGTCAGTCCTACAGCCTCTTCTTGGGCAGCTCAGAGGCCTCCCAGGCTCACTGCTGTCAGTGAGGAAAGTGTGTAGGTACTGTGTCACCCCTGCTGGGGGAGGGGACTTCAAGGTGACTTAGCCCCTCTGGGCCTAGGCTCCCTCATCTGTGGAATGAGGACACCACCGCCCCCCTGGAAGAGGTATGGGAACATTTGGTGAGGTTCAGAATAAAGTGCCTGGCTCTTTTCTTCCCTTCCCTTTTCAGGAGAAGGTACAAAGAGTGACCAGCATGACCTGCACCTGTGGGACACCACAGGCTGCTGCATTCGCCCCCCCCCCTCCTGCCATGGAGCTCTGGTGCACGAGGACTCTGAGGATGCAGAGCTCCTCAGGCTCTGTCCTGGCCTTGCCCCCATGGGTGCTCCTTGCTGGGGGTCCTGTTCAGGTGGGGCCTTGCCCCCTGCTGCTATAGCTGGCCACTAGGCATCTTGCAGAGGCCCCAGGCACACACAGCAAATAGGTGCTTTACCCAGACCCTCCTCCAGAGCCAGGGTCACGTCTCCTCGGCCACGGAGCCAGGTGGGCTGGGGCAGATCTGGCTCCTTGGTAAAATGTCAGGATGACGCCATTAGCTTGCTGGCTATCAGAGTCTGTTTCCACAGGAGCGCAAGGAACAGCAGGCTTTGCCTTCTGCTCCTACTGTGTAGACTGCACACCCTTACAAAGACCACCTCCAGCAGACAGGAGCCCACAGGAGCAGACTGTTGGCTGTATTTTCCTTATGACTTTCAGTTAGGAAACCTACCCAGCTCTCCTGAAAACGCCCGGTTATGTCAGTGTGTGCTCAGGCTCAGCTGCATTCTTTCGGGTTTTATGGCTGCTCCCCACCTGCCTCTCCCACTGTGCAGCAGACCCTTGTCAGGTGCATGGGGCCTCCTCACCAGCCTGTCCCTGGGCCACCTGTGTGGAAGTAGGGCAGGCAGGCCACTGCACCACCTGAGAGAGGACAGAAGGGGTGGGGCAGAGCCTGTGAGGAAAAGCTGTGCAACCAGGATGGAGACGGTGCCTGCCGCGGGGTGAGCAGCCTCGTCTTGGCGAAGCAGCGGCAGAGCTGCAGACTGCTCTGTGCCCCTGTGAAGGAGGAGCTGGCACCTGTGCTTTCCCAGCCTTCTGAACTTGTCGTGGCTGGAGCTGGACAGGGTGCTCTGGGGCCCGGAGGGCCAGGAAGGACTGCTGATGGGTCACAGATGCTACAAACCGTGTAGGCCAGAGACAGCACAGCCAGACCAGATGACTGAATCCCTGCACAGCACTGAGCCTCGGAAAAGGAAGTGGAGCCAGCAGCAGGGCAGCTCTTCCTGTTTCTCACACAGAGCCAGCTGAGCCTGGGCTGGGCAGCAGTGAGCACTAAGCTGCCTCAGCGAATTCTGCAATCTTGTGGGCCGCGTGAAGGTCGCCCCAAAAGACCATCCCCTGCAGTTCTCTAGCAGACTAGCTGTGCCCCAGAGCCCCGTGTTCCCTTGGCACGGAGCGTGGGCAGTGGGCTTAGTGACTGGAAGATGCTGTTCAGCGTTTAATCTCAGGTGGGCACAGCTGACAGAATTTGAGAGCCCCTTGTGCTTCTGCTTGGAGCTGGGGAAAGCTGGGTCCCTGAGGGCACCCCTGAAACAGCCAGGGAATAGACACAGAGAAGCGGATTTCCCCAGAGTCACTTGCACCTTCTAGACCAGGTATTAATCATACAACCGACAGGGCTGTTTCCAGATGATGGTGGGGGGGAGCGAGCCATGGCTTTTAAGTATTTAAGTGAGGCACTATGTGGAAGCCTGAGGCCCAGGTCAGTCCTGGTCTCCCTATTCCAGTGACGCTGCCCACATAGCCTCAGCCTTTGCACCATGCTGGCTTACTGGAGACAGCATCTTGGTCCCACCTAGCACAGTCCTAGGCACCTAGTAGAAATTTTTTCTTTATTTTTAAAAACTACTGCTCTACAATAAAAGCTCTTGTCAGAAAAAGATGAGCTCATTCACACAGGTACCAATGAATAGCACCCCCTTCAACCATTATTTGCACTTTAAAAGAGCAGAAAAATGAGGTCAGGCCACAGAGGAGATGCACTCTCTCAGTATAAAGCCATTGTGGTTGTGAGGTAGAATAGTGTGTGCATGAGTGTGTGCGTGTGTGTGTGGCCATGCCCTGTGTGAACACCACACTCCCGCACACTGACCCTATCTCTCTGGCTCACATCTGCAGCACCGCAGGCTCTCACATGGCTTCCCTGTGTCTCCTTCTCCTTCGCAGGCCTCTATGTGCAGGAGATGGCTGACCTGGACACCGCCAAGCTCTACTCGGGGCTGCTCGGGGTGGGGGATGAGATCCTGGAGGTGAACGGAGCCAAGGTTGCTGGGCTGGGCTTGGCTTACATCAAGGAGCTCCTTGCCCATTCAGAGAGCTTATCAGTCCGTGTCCTGAGGCAGAGACCTGTCCTTCAGTGACCCAGAAACCTGCTGCCCCAGCTACCAGCTCCTCAGGAGCCTTGAGCCCTGAGCCCTGAGCCCTGAGCCAGCTGGGAATGCACTGCACAGAGCTGCTTTGTGGACTGAAAACACAGACCTTGGTGGCATCCAGCCCTTCAGGCTGTGGCAGACTGATTACCCAAGGGATAGGCAAGGAGCCTGTGAATGTATTTTGGTTAAGGCCATTCATTTATGCAGAACTGGGGAAAGAAAATACTGGGCTCTTTCCATACTAGAGATAGCGACATTCACTTGTCCCTTTGTTGGTGGGGGTGGGGAAGAGATTCAGGAGGTCCTTTGGTTGGCCTGGAGAGCTTGGCCTCACCTCCAGGTGCCACTCCTGAAAAGACTCGGCCAGCCTCCAACACTCCAGAAAGACAGAGACAGCGGCCCTGCGAGCTTGCTTCCTCTCAGCCACGTTTCTGTCCACTGCCACCTTTGCTTTCATCCAGAAAGAGGCGGGCATCCTGGAGAAGCAGCCCATGGCCAGGGAACAATATTCCAAGCCAAACATCGGAGACGTGCTCTGACGAGAGTTTTATGGCCCTTCTGGATGTGAGAACATCTGGGAGATGTTATCTGGTAGCCAGAATATCAAAAATTTCTAGGAAATTTATGTAATATACAAAGTTAAAGGGAAAAAAAGAATGAAACCAAGGCAGTTTCAGGGGGTGCAGCTGCGGTAGGCAGGATCAGGCAAGTGTGAAGGTGGGCCGAGCGCCTCCTCCCTCCAGGCCTGCCCTGCACCCTCCCTCCGCCTCTGCCTGCAGGGGCTGCAGTTTCCCGCGTGGCCTAGGTCTTTGTTCTCCTGTCCAGCTTGGAGACAGGGCTGCAGCTGGTGTCTGGCTGTCCCCCAGCTGCAAGTTTCCTGTCCAGACCTCCCTCGTGGCAGCTGTGGGTGGGCAGGGAGACAGCAGGGAGGCTCCAGAGAGCAGGCGCTGGCCACCCTGCCCTGGCGCTTCCTGCTCTGCACCTGGAGACTGCTCAGAGGGTTGGGACTCTGAGTACATGGCTGTGTGTCAGTCTTAAATTATTAAAATGCCAAGCTGAAGCTTCTCTACTCTGAGTTGTAAAATTCTGGACTCGGTTGACCTTCAGCAGGGGCTGGAAGACACAAATACATTGTGGGCATGCCAGAAGGGAAGGTTGGGGAGGCCCCAGCTGCAGGGTCAGCCTGTTGGATATGGAAGCACGCAGTGTTGGCCTGGAAGAGGAGACTGGCAAGGTTTATGGTGGGGAGAGAATGAAGCTAAGAGGCCTCGAGATACAGGGTTGAGGAAAGGTGCTCAGGCTGTTTGCCAGGGTGCTGAGAGGTGGTCAAAACCAAAACACAAGCTTCAGCAGAAGCTGGTTGAAATGAGCATCCAGGCAGCTTTCACAAGGCAGGGAGGGGGGAAGCAGGCCTCTGGGGGTGTGGAGGTTTGTGTTCTGCTTGGTAGCAGGGAACACGCCTCTCGTGCCCTGGAGTGAGGCAAGAGCAGAGTTCTCAGAGCCCCAAGTGTGCAAGATGGGGAGGCAGGGCTGCCATGGGCTTGGGGAGGAAGGAACTGGAGCAGGAGGGTGGCGGGCCAGAGCAGCCCATGGCTGAGGCTTCAGCTGTGACGGGCGTGCTAGGACATCTCAGAGGCAAGTATCACTCCCTCAACGTGTAGAAATGGCCTCACAGCAAGAAACTACAATCCAGAGGACTGTCCCACACTCAAAATTCCTAGCTCTGAGGTCATGAAACAGGAAATTTCACTTTGAAGAAAACCGGATTTCAGGGCAGCATGTGAGTGAGGCCCTGGGTTCCATTCCCAGTGGTGAAAAAGGGGTGCTCAAGAGCAAAAGACACCCCTGTTTTCTGCCTAGGGTAAGGGCTGCTTGCCTACCTCCTGGGAAGAAATGAAAGTAGGGCCGGGGCTGGGAGAGGCCAGGAGAAAGAACTTTCGCAGCGGTCTGTCCACCAGGCCCTGGGCCAGCCCCTGGAAGTAGTTGAGCCAGGTGCTGCTGCGTCTCCACTCCACTTGAGAGGTGAGGAACAGGGTTAAGCAAGTGTCAGGGCACCCAGCGCTGCTTCTCTGACTTGGGGGCCTCCACTCTACTCCCCTGCCTGCTCACTGTGCCCCTGTCATACTGCTCCTCCATACCAAAAAAGCCTTAAGTGGAAGGGGCAGGGCACAGGGGTCCTGCAGGCTCCCGGCCTCTGGCTGGGCTTCTGAGGTACCAGCGTTGGCCTTGGCTTCCTCCTGGGGTAGTGATGCTGGGGACCCAGATCTGTGTGCTTAGGAGGGGACCTCTGTGACTTGCCCAGGCAGCTGTGGACCTAGAAAGACTGGCTCAGCCCCTTTTCACAAACTGGACCACAGAACCTTCCTAGAACCTGGTTTTTATGAGGCGTCAGACCTGCCAGGCAGGAGGATGGGGCTACCTGCAAAACTGGCTCTCTACACACGACCGGTGGAGGCGCAGGGGTCACTACTGGGCTGAGCTGCGCAGCAGGGGCCTGGTAGGTGTGGCCCGGTGTGAACAGCGAGGGAGGAGTGGGGTCTGAGGGAGAGGGAGGTGCCCAGGCAGTTTTGTAAAGCCAGGACGTCCAGCTAGGGCAAGCACGCTCACACTCCACAGAACACAGACACATGTACACGCACATGCAAAGGTGTGGGTCTCGCCTGAAGCACCTGAATCCCCTCCAGGTCACAGAAACATGATGCTTGAACTCCATGGAACAGAAAGTGGTACCAGTTTTAGCCTTAAATACCGGAGCGTTTGGGAATGGGCAGGGGAGGAGTCCGCAAACCTCGGAAGCTGAGCCTGAGCCGTGCTGCCCCAAGCCAGCTGTGACCTCTGTTCAGGGTCGCCTTTCCTGGGTTTCCTTGCTGCGCCGCCCCGAGTCCTTTGTCTGATGATTACTGCCCCTAGGGGCCGCGCAGCCTTTGTCTCAAGGACACTTCCCGGAGGAGGGGGGCTGGTTGGAACCGCCGGAGGGATGGGAAGGGAAGGCTAATTGGGCAGCCCCGGCCCCGGAGGGAGTGTGGGCCAGGGAGCAAGAATGAGGATGGGGTGCACGCAAGAACGCCAGGCCTCGGGCAAGACGCGCAGCACCCGCTCGGCCCGAATTTTGAACTGCAAAGTTAACCTGCGCATTCAGGGACTCACAATCCTGCCCGCCGCTCTGCGTACTGTCCAGAGATCTGTAAGTCTTTAAGGACACAATCCTGAATCCTTGCAGCGACTGGAGGGAACACTGCCCTAATTCCGGGTCACTAATGAGGTGTGCGAGACACAGCTTACCCCCATCACAGCAGCAAGGGCAAAGGCAGGATTCTGACTAGAGGTCTGCACTGCTGGGCTTTCCACCTCGGGCCCCTCCGCGCAGCGCTCATCAGACCCTCCCGCCCTGCTCCTGCTCTCCGCGGAGCACAGCCATCACTTTCCAGGGCAGTGTTTCCAAGCCAAGCGTGGCCCACTCCTGGGTCATAGAAGCAGTGTTATGGGTGGAGCCTAGCATTTTTAAAAGGAGGGGGGTTGGAAAAAATAAAAGAAACTGGGTAGAAAAGAATGTCACGCAAGGCAAGAGTGGGTCCTCCCCTGCCCTCTAGCACTACCCTCTTTGGGCTGGTGGGATCTGGTGAAATAGCCTGGCCCTGAAGAAGTCCCCTCACTCTAGGTATGGATGCCCTTCCTGACCTACCAAACTGGCTAAGGCAGGGTTCTTCTCCCACCTGGGTAACTGGCAGGGCCACACCCCAACCCCACCCACCCACTTTCCTACCATTCCCTCATGCTTGTTTATGCACTGTTGCCTGAGAGCCCCCCAACTCCCCCCACACACACACACCTAAGCACACCCCTCCCTGTGCCATGGCCTAGCAACCTTTACAGCATTAGAGGGCCCAGCCTGGGGGGCCATAGCACCCCATGCTCTGCCAAGCTCCTATGGACTGGAGGCATGGGCTCTCTGATTCCCTTCAGGAAGAACCGCTTGTGTATTTTCCATACATTTTACCTGGCAACAACTGGATTTCCCTAACCCATCTGCCCTACCCATTCCCCTTCTCAATCCTGGCTCCTTCGGGAGCTATCCAAAAGCCTGTTGTCACTGAATCCCCTCTCTCCCCCCTTCCCCATCATTGTCTGTGAAGTTTCTTCTTCCTACACAGCCACAGCACCTGCTTAGAAACGGCAGCAGTCTTCCTTAGCAAGAAGCTCCCGCAGCTCCCAGGCTATGGGTCTGGTCAGCTCTGGGTGCTGGCTCCAAAGAAGGGGGCTGCTGGGACCGCATGAGAAACTGCCAGCGCCAGGGCTTTGCAGCACCCCACAGGTCAGGGGGACGGGGGCCCGCCTTGCTCTCATCCTTCTGCAGTCTGGGCTCAGGCTCTGCTCTGCCTGGAGTTACCCCAGGGGCCCTGGGGAGGGGCCAGATGAAGTGGAGAGGGATGCTCTGCCCTCGGGGTGCTCATGTCCTCAGGATGGAGACAGCTACACCTGTGAACAAAAGACAAGCCAGATGCCAAGGGCAGGAGGACCCCACTCTCCGTGGGGACCTGAAAGACTTCCCAAGACAGCCAGACCCTGGCCCTGTGGCCTCCAACCTCACCACCTGCGCAAGCTGAAGCAGCAACAGGGAGTGCTGGCATCCGAGGAGTACACAGCAGCACAGTTTTCCTGGGGGCAGCTAACCTGCAACTCCAGGCCTTACTGGGTTTATACAATGAGTCTGGCTTTTCTTTTTCTCTCAGTCTATTTTTAGCTTAAAAAAAAAACCTCTCCAAGAGGGTTTTAGGAGACCTGCCTGAGATCGGGACCACATTCCTTGACTATAGTGAGCTCAAGGTCATGGTCAAGTCCAAGGCAGCTGTATCCCTGTCTCATCGGAAGGACCTCAGAGGTCAGCACTTAACTCCTGCTTCAGCTTTGATTCCTCCTTCCCTCTCAGCTCTGATTACTGCCATTTCTCAAGTTAGAAACATCTGCTTGCCACCCCTGCAATCAGGGTCTAGCTAGACTGGGGTTCAAGTTTGATTCCCCTACTTGGTAGTTCTGTCTTTGGGAAAATTTCTTAATTGCCTTACATCTGTTTTCAGATGTAAAGTGGGCCTCAGCGGCATTTTCCACATGGATTTGTGAGTGGCTGAGCTCTTCCCAAAGGCCAACACCTCCCTAAGGGGGTTCAAGGACTTGACTCTTACTCTGTTGTTACCCCACACTTTCATCCCAAAAGAAACCCTGTCCTGTGTGGTATTTTAGACAGTCTCATTAGCTTGGTGTTTAAGAATGCATGCAGCTTGAACAGCCAGAGAAAGCACAATTCATAATTCCAATCTTCCAGCAGCCACCAGCATCCTAGCATGAACACTGATACTTACTGGTGGCTGCAGGAAGAGATCCTGTGCTTAGGTATGAAAAAACGAAAACCATGCCAGGTACAGTGGTGCACTCACAGCACTCTGGGAGGCTGAGGCAGGACCACACTAGCCCGGACGATTTGGCAAGACCCTCCTGTCTCAAAATGTAGAGGGGTTTGGGGTATATCTCAGTATGATAGCCCAGTGTTCAAACACCAAAACAAAAGAGAAAGAAAAGACAATGACAAAACACCCAGCACGAAGTTCTCGGTCTGTCTTTCATTTCACTTTAATACTGAACACTGTCCTTTCATCGTTGTAACAGGATTTCAAGAACAGAAGTAGGAAACGTTACTGGTAAGACTTCAGGATGTAAAAAAATCAATTTTTAAGGGTAGCTAGTTGCTTTTTTGTAAGTATTCTTTAAAAGTTCTGAAGTTTGTGGTGTCCTTCAATTTTAGGATTACAATCAAAAGCTGTGGATGGTGTTTTATTTCTCCAGGACTTTCTCGTCCTGTAGCCTGGAGTCCCAGATGCTGTAGTGGTGTATGCGGAACTCCCTGGAGAGCTGGCCTCACACGGACTGGAGAGAGGCCCAGTGATGTGCACTCCTAACTAGTTCCCAGGTGATGTCAACTCCGTCCCTGGACAGCCACTGTCTAAAGGAAACTAAAATCCACCTATGAGGGTGCTCAATTTCTCCTCCTCTGCCACCTCCCAGAGCTCTGGCTTCTTCTCAGCCTGTGGAAAAAAAATGTCACCTAGAAGCCTCCAGGTAATACTGAGAGCTATAGTGTGTGCCTTCCTGTTATTAAGAAGTCTTTCATCAGGGCTGGGGGTTTAGCTCAGCGGCATAAGCACCTGCCTTGCAAGCGGGCGGTCGTGAGTTCGATCCCCGGTACCGATAAAAATGAAAAAAGACCAAAAAAAAAAAAAAAAAAAGAAGTCTTTCATCCTTGGAAAAACACTTAATATTTTGTTCCTGGTGAATCTTGCCCTGTATTATACAGTGTATTTCTGAATTATACTACTTTCTGATCCTAAAGAAGCCAGGGAAAACATATTTCCACTTACAAAAACAGCCTCTTTCACCATTTACTGCTTGGTTTCTTTTGCTTGTTCCTACATGGCTTCCAGGCCGCCCCTCACCCAAGGCCTTCACTCAAGTCTGTCTGTTGAGTGCAGAGTCCAGCTGGGGCCGCTTAGGAAGTAATCACAGAGAACTCAAAAAGCAGTTCCAACAGCTTATTAGCAGGACCCCTGGCTGTCCTCTCCGTACCCACAGATGACAGCGTGGACATCTGTTTTCCTGGGAGGAAGATGTGTTTCTCCAGGACACTGCTTATTAGCAGCAGAGTCACACCTGCCTACAAGCAGAGCACCTCAGCTGAATCCGCTCTCTGTGGAGCTGGAAAGAGTCTTGAACACTGTGCCACCCCAGATCTGACAAAAAGCTTGGCTTGGAGGGTGCAGAGCTGCTGGAAAGGGGCCCAAGAGTTCTGGTCAACAAGCACGGAAGGTGGGTGGTCTTATTTCTAACATCCGCTGAATAACCAAGTGGAGTTTGGTTAACTCAAGGCCTTAAAAAACAAATCAGTGAAATACTTTCTCAGTCTAGGCAGAGCTGGCCAACTAGGTCTGTGAAATGTTCATGTGAAACACGAGGACTAGGGCTGACACTTGGGACCCTCACAGTCTCAGCACAGTAGATGCATCAGAAGGAAAATAGCACCAACATATTAAAGCAGAGAGAAACCAACTTTGTTTCTCCCTTCCTCACCCAGCCCCTACCTGACTCAGCAGCAGCTGTGATGTATGAAGACCTCCCAGATAGAGCTAGATCATGCAACCTGAGCATGGTGCCCTGGGATTTTCAGAACTGCAATGTTTGTCTAAAAGGTAAAAGAAAAAAAAATCACCAAGGCTCTGGGAAGGGTGAGTTAGCATCATTCTCCCTAGGTTCTGTGTCTGAGGTCAGCGTTAAGTGCCTCAGCTCCTCTCACAAAGCATGTGGGCTCCAGAATGCAGACACTGGGTGACTCCCGTTCATACGGGGGTGAGTTGGAACTGCTCCAACAGGAGGATTTCACTCAAGCACCCACAGCTCCGAGTCTACCATCAAGGTTGTACCTCCAGAGATCCAACTTCTCAAGCCCAGGAGGGAGCTCAAGCACTCACGGGAATGCCGAGAGTTGCTCTACTTCACTCAAAGCTCTCTTGCTTTTCTGCACTGAACACTAGAGACCAGTTTCACAGTGAGCATCACCAAGTAGCATGTGACAAGGGTGCGTGGTTACACGGAGACCAGTGCAGCCCTCGCATGGGTGGCACCATTTTAAGTGTAAGCATATTTCAAAGGTAGGAATCGGGTTCGAGCAGTTGCTAAACTTCCCCTACCTGGAAGCACAGGCCCCAGGAAGAGCAAGGCAGCTGTGGCCTGGTGGCTCCAAGGTCTCTCCTTATTGTCCTGAATCCCAGAACTGACTGTGCTGAGGGTGCACAGTGACAGAGCAGGAAACAAATCTAGGAGCCTTTTAGTTTCATCTTCTGTCCAATCTTGATGAGCAAAGAACATGCTTTTCAAACCAAAGAAAAGTATATGCACTGTCATGTAAACTTGGGAGGAAAAGAAAGGCCAGTGAAAAGGAGAGGCAGTGCATTCCACACCTTAGAACATGCTTTCGAGGCAGTCCATTTTTGTTTTGTTTACAAATCTGCCTTTGGGACTAGATGAAGCCAAACAGGACAAAGCCCACAGAGTCGAAATGCAACTCATGTTTATCATTCAATACCTTGATCATCAAATGTTATGAATTCTTCAAAAAGGTAACAGGGAATAAATGTCCCTCTGGTCTCACTTGATATCCAGGGAAATTACCAAAAGAAAAATCTTGGCTCCATCACCTTTACTCACAGAAGGTAAAACACTTAACAGAGACAGATTTCTGTTGGAGTTAGACTAGATTTCTTTTCACAGCCCTTAATCGCACGAGGTGAGAAGGAGTGGAGGTTGCCAAGTTGTTGGCTACCAGACCCATCAGTCTGTTTAACTCTGGCTAACAGCAGAGAATAATGGGCAAGTTACCAAGTTCCCCTCTCCAGCTCTGGCACAAATTCTAAAACTGTGGAAGAGCTGCATGTAACACACACACCCACACCCGTGCTGTATCACACACTTCAGTCCCATTTGCCACACCGTCCAGAGCAGGCATTGAATTGCAATTTTTCACATTCCACACAAAGACCAGAAATTAGGACTAAAGACTGAAGTACTTTGGTTTTCCGGTTGGAATCACACTCTGGCAAAACCTCTCAAGGGTTCATTCCACATCTCACCCACCCCTAGATCAGTTAAATAAAATGCTCTCCCAGTGAACATAAATTGAGCCTCTCTGCTACCCATCGCATTGTGCCAGTTCTTTAACACGATGGATTTGAGACTTGGTGCAGAAGACCCAGTGCCCACCAGCGGGCACTTGGGCAGTGCTGATGCTGCCTGCCTTCTCTTGCTGTCCCAGGACACAGGAGTGAAGGGACCAGTTAGGTTCCCTGGACACCGAAGAGGAGTATTTGTCCTCCAAAGGAAATGCAGGCCCCATTGCTTGTTATCTTTGGCTGCCAGTTTAGAGTCTAAATGGAGAACCTTCAAAATGAACTCCCATTCTGCAGGGACAGGCTGGGAAGGGCACAGCAGGACCAGATCAGCCAAAGGTAGGAGCATGCTGGGGTTGATTTTTTTTTTTGTTTCTAAATGGCTCCCCACTCAGCTTCAGCTTGTCAGGTCTACAGCAGTCAGTTTAGTGAACACCTCAAATCAGTGAGGTGAACACAATAACTCAAAATGTATCAAACAAAATTACGCAAGGGACCCAACACTTGATCGCTGAACTACTGGGAGTATCTTCCTTATTAGCGACCAGACAGTGTTCCAAACAGCTCTGACTGACATGCAATTAGATAGCAGATAGGAGACTTAGAATTCTTTGAGATGCTAGCTGTTTCTTATAATGTGGAGCATGGATTACAATACTTGGGGAAAAATCCACACTTATTTTTGGCAAAAGACTTCTACTATATTTTAATGCAAAGGACCATCTCTGGTCTAAGTTTATAGAAGACTGTTTCAGTAAGTCTTAAAACTTTGTGTCTTAAAACATAAATAACTCAGTGATCCTTTCAAGCCCTTTGTCATATTCACTTTTTTCCTAATTTGAAAAGAAATAATATATCAAAAAAATTAAAAGTGAGTGTAAACATGGACGTAAACCACCTTTTCTGTTTATAAATTTGCTTTTAGCTTCCAACAGGCAGATTTTCTTACCTACAATGATCCTACACAAGATAAAATATCCTTCTTTAAAAAACTGTTACAGATATTTATTAAAAAGTGCAATTTAAAAGTTAGCCGGGCAAGCACACCATTGCAAATCATAAAAGGGGGGAAAAAAACCAAGAAAACAAAACCACAGGAAATACATACAAAACAAAGTGTTTAAAGAAGAAAAGTTAGTGTGCCGAGGAATGCTCAAAAAGATGAGAAAACCAAAGCTCGAGCCGTCTCCAGGCGTGGCTGCTCTTTCCCAGTGCACGTGGCGGTGGAGAGACTGGCAGCCTCCAGCACCAAGTTCTGGCTCTGCATCCACCACTGCCGTATCAGGTTATGCAACAGAGGTTAGAAACTGTCTTACACACATACAAGTGCACATCTGAGGATCGCCGAAGTCGTCAGAGGCTTGCAGTTTTAGTGTCTCAGCAGTCTCAGCTACATAAACTCAATGAAAGCGTCTAACATTAAATCTGAATTGGCTCAGTTATCTAAATGGATGATAAAGTCATGTTGTCACCTTGGGGAAGAAAGAATCAAGTTCTACAACCAAGTTGCCATTACTAACAGGGTAAGAGAAGTGTGGTCCAGAGTTCTGCTCTAGCCTTTTGGTAGCATGAGAGTTTCCATGTGAATGTACTGGATACACCAACTACTGCAAACCCATCTCTGAGTGTAGAGTGCCACAGAAATAAAAAAGTGTCAAAAAGGATACAGGGTCCAATTCATTCCAACACACCTAGCTGTTCAACAACAGATTTAAGGGTCACCCTGAAACTGTAACTTGTACCCCCGGGGGAAGCCCTGGGGCAGCAACATAGAGTCCTGTGCTCTGGTGATGTCATCAACCCTTCCCTAAGCTGTCCCAATCAATCAAGTCCCACTGCCCTTTTTAACTGTTCCTGTCCATTAAAGCCACAAGTAAGCTGCAAGCTGTTAGCTTCCCTATGCCCCACAGTGTTTCACTAGTTTCCATTCGTTATATCTACCACAAAAGAAAGAAAGAAAAAAGCAAAGAAAAAGGAAAAAGAAAAAGAAATTGCACCTGGAAAAGCAATTTTATCTTAGCACTTATCCCTGAAAAATGATACTATTTTCTGTTGCAAACTGCTTCTGAGCCTTCTGTCCTCATCCGTAACCAGCCCTCAGGGACTATGAAATGTACAGCAATGGGAAATGCAGCACACCCAGCAGCCACATTCTCAACAAGTTTCTTTTGATGGTACACCAGTGCCCATCTGGATGGATGAGCAACGAGTGGGTCTTCTAAATCTTCTGGATGATACAGTCCCTCCTCCAGGAGCAAGGTCCAGCAAGGCATACAGTAGCTGGCTATCCTCAGTCAGCACAGGAAGAGGGGCTTTTGTCATCCAGCCTGGAGTGCAGTCATCTCCTTCCTCTTCCTGTGGTCCTTCCAGCGCAGGGTGGAGGAGCTGCTCTAATGTGAGCCACACAGAGAAATCCTCACAGCGGCAGGCTTCCCGGAGAGGAATGTGAGTTGACGGAGTGTGCTTGTTTCTCCTCCTCCCCTGGTTCCTGGGCAGGAGGAACCACAGTGGCAGCCACCATCACAGCACTAGGAAGAGGATCAGCACGACCAACAGGACCACAAAGAGGATGGCGATGGCACACCACTGGCGTCGATCTGGAAGGTATGACAGAAGATTAGCCTGCTTGGGTGCGCTACACTCCCTAAGACACAGGCACGGAGAATCTGAGCACCTTTTAAACAGAAAAGGGACGGAATGTGCAAATGACAGGGCCAGAGGATCTGGAGCCCGCCTTAGTGCCTGGTACTCGAATCCCACTGTGCCCGTGGCCTGTACTCCATGTGCATCCAACTTTGCCAGTCCCCCGAAAAGTGCTTCACAGTAAGTGTGCGCTTTGAGTCCTCAGTCTTTAATTAAAACCCACGGACCTCAGCTTTCGGTTGCTGCTCAGTTCACCCCTGGGAGAGGTGCTGGCACTGCTACCACTGCTTTCATCTCCCACCGAAGTCAAGTCATGTACTTCAACATGACCACGTTTTTTCTTCAATGAACACTGCAAGAAGTAGGAAGGGAAAGCTGCTGCTGTTCACTAGGGAAGTGAACAGCTGAAAAAGCAAAATCCCGTAAGAGAGCACAATTAACAATCTCACCACGCTATGCAACCAAGAAGGTTCATTAACCAGTAACCACGTTAAAGCAATGTAGGAGCCTATCTGTACACGAAAGCACAGTGTCTTTCTGAAACCTCTGACCTACCAACGACTTAGGACAGCAGGAATAGGACGCAAAGTGGCTGGAGTCTTCTGAATGGCTGGAAGCAGGGAGGCCCCACAGGACAGAAGAGCCCACGCAAGCCCAGGAGTGCCTACGCCGCCCACAGTCCTGTCTGGGCTCTCAGGCTGCAACCGCCGCTTGCTGGGCTGTGGGGAGAACGAAACAAACGCGAACACAGCCCGCAGTGTGTAGTGTCCCCTTCTGGGTCACGGGACACTCTCTACCTGAGGGAGAGGCACCGAGAGCGGTCTCTCCATATGTAAGGCCAGTGTTGTCTACGGAGGGTCAGGCTGATAACAAAGAATTTCACTAGCCCGGGAAAACTGCAGCTCAACCACTAGGAATAAAAGTTCCACTTACACAGAAATGTAAAGGTAATACTTATTCATTAAAGTTTATTAGAAAACATTAGATTTTAATACAGCACAGCTTTGAGAATGACTATATTATAAGAAGGCTAAAAAAGTTGCAAAACTCCCCACAAAAAGTCAGCGGTGTAAGTGCCTACCTGGCAAATGCAAGGTTGTGAGTTCCATCCCTGGTACCAAAAACATAAACAAACAAAACTCTCCACAAAGCATAATTCTCTACTTAGAATTATTTTAAATGTCATATATATCAAAATCTTGAAATTGGTCAAGAGAACCGCTTCCAAGTTAAAGCAAGTAACTCATTTCTTCTTCCTTTTTTTTTTTTGGTGGCTGGCACTAGGGATTGAACCCAGGGGCATTCTACTACTGAGCTATATCTGTGGCCTTTTTTTATTTCTTATTTTAAAATAGAGTTTCATGAAGTTGCCCAGACTAACCTTGAACTTGCAATTCTCCTGCCTTAGTCTGCCAAGCAGCTAGGGTTGTAGGCATGTAACACCACACCCAGCTCACAAGTACCTTCTTAAAAATGATCACTCTCTACTTCAGACATGCCAAAAACTCACTCAGTAACTGTGCTTTGGATAAATTTTACAAGTCTATCCATTTATTTTTTTCTGAAGTTGGACTATTCCTAAGGATATAAAGAGGCAGAGCTGGCCTATCACAGATAAGACTTTTAACTTGCTTAACTCTCACTATAGGGGTCAAAAAAACTTGCATATCTAGCATTCTTTCATCTCTTTAAAGGTGCTGGACTTTCAGTTTCCAGTCTGGTAAGGACAGAGCTTAGAGGTTATCACTCTGTCCTAACCACTAAAACTCTAAACAAACTGAAAAATCAATTCTTCTTAGATCCTTTAGAAAAGTGAGGTCCAGGGTAGACTGCTGTCACTAATAATGGAGAAACCCACAGGTAAATGCAGAGAATCACAGCTTAACAGAGCATAAACCCACGAGCAGCAATTTCTACCAAAACTGGGCTGGAGAAGAAAACTTGAAGTGTAACTGACGAATGCTGGAGGCTCAGTGAAGACTTGGCCATCATACAAAAGCTCCCAGGAGAGTGAGTTACAGGGGATCCCCACATTTTTTTTTTTTTTTTTTTGGTCTTTTTCCTTTTTATCGGTACTAGGGATTGAACTCATGACTGCCTGCTTGCAAGGCAGGTGCTTATGTCGCTGAGCTAAATTCCCAGCCCGATCCCCCACATTTTTATGAGTTTTATCTCCAAAGGCCTGACAAGAGTCTCACAATGAATGTGAGAGAAAAAAAAAATACACTCTTGGTTCTGAACTCAGGGATAAAAAACATTTTAAGCTAGAGATGTTGTCCTTAACAATGCAGGACCCCTCGGGAAACCATTTTACCAGAACCTAGACTGCTGAGTTTATCAGAGCATAACCAATGTGGGAGATGGGGGTGGGGGGCTGGGGAGAACCACCTCCACTATACCCTGACCATCCTGTCCCACCCTGATGACCTCGGTGATTTTAGACAGAACACAAAAGGTGCTGCCCATGCAAGGAGTAACTGACAATGGGGCCTTATTAAAACTGAAAACTTCTGCTCTGCAAAGGACACTGTTAAGAGAAGATGACAAGCTATAGACTGGGAGAAACTATGTTTGAAAGACACATCTGATAAAGGACTATTATTAAAAATGTACGAAGACTTTTAAATTTCAACAAAATAAAAACTACCTGGTTGAAAATAAATAAATAAGCAAATAAATAAAAACCTGGCTAAAAAAATTAGCAAAATCCATGCATGGTGGTACATGCCTGTAATCCCAGCAATCCCAGCTGAGGCAGAAAGATTGATGGGAGTTTCAAGGCCAGCCTGGGCTACCTAACAAGACATTGTTCCAAAAAACCAAAAAAACAAAACAAAAAAAAAAAAAACCTCACAAAATTTAATTAGAAGATAAAATAAAACTTGGGAAGGATTTTTGGAACTTTGTATTTAATATTCTCTCAGACCACAGTTATCCTGCTTATCTTCTCGGCTTCCTACCTGCTTCTCTTCTGGCTGGCCCATCTAAGGAAGCGAACCCACGCTTTGCCTAGCGTATCTACACTGTATATGATACTTGGCTTCATCATTTAGTAGTCTTTTGGTTATCAGATCAATGATATTACAGTGTTCAAGAAGGTCTAATGTTGCATTACAACTAATTATGGTTTCAGTTTTCCACTGGAGATCTTGAAACCTACTGGTGAGAGGGAATGACTGTAATCATTGGTACATTCAGACAATGGTATACTACTCAGTGCTAAAAGATAAATGAGCTGTCAAAGCCATGGAGGAAACTTAAACGCATATTACTAAATGAGAGAAACCACTCTGAGAAAGATCTATGCCGTATGATTCCAACTGGAAAAGGCAAAACTATGGAGACAGTAAAAGGACCTGTGTGGTTACTGGGCAAGGAAGGAGACAGGTCAAAAAGGATAAAAATTAAAACCACAAAAAAAAAAAAAAAAAAAAAAGGTTCAAAAAAAGAAAAGAGGCTTGGGATTTAGCTCAGCGGCGTAAGCACCTGCCTTGTAAGCAGGCAGTCATGAGTTCAATCCCTGGTACCGATAAAAAAAAAAAAAAAAAAAGTTCAAAAAAATTAAAGCCACAGCAAGATACTACCTCATCTCAAAAGACAGTAACAAATGCTGCACATGTGTATTAGTACAGTCACTGTACAAAACAGTATGGAGGTTCCTCCAAAAGCTAAAAATAGAGCTACCACACACCCTAAAAACCCCACTTTGGATATACACATACTTAAAGGAAATGAAGTCAGCATGTTGAAAAGACACCTGTACTCCCATGTGTACTGAGCACTGTTCACAATAGGATATGACTCCAGGATATGGAATCAACTAAATGTCCACCTAGTGAGTTCAAGGCCAGCCTGAACTATACAGCAAGATCCTGTCTCAAAAAACAAAAATAAAATAAGATAAATAAAATAAAGTGAAACAAAACAACTTAAAATTAATGCCCTTTTGGGGTGTTCACAGAGGTGATTCCCCCGTGCAGCAGGCAGCCAAAAGGAGGACAAGGAAGGCTTCTGCCTCCGAGAGCTGTAGATGCGTGGTCATCCTGCTCTGAAGCAGACTCCGTGCTTCCTGTACATACACGGCTAGACTGAGAACAGTGAATTCAATCCAAAGTTAAGAGTAGAGAAAAAAGACAATTACAAATTGTCTGCTTGACAAACTGAAGCAGATACCAGCTGCAGGAGGAGGCCTGTAAACTAATTTTTTTGGTAGCAAGCAAATATTAAAATGAAAACACAAGTAACCTATCCAAAATGAAGGGCCTTTCAAACTAACTGTTGGCATTTTCTTGTACAAACATAACTAAAGTTCTTACTTTGCTTCCCAAACTTTTCTTTTGAAAAACACAGTATAAAGCATAAGCCAGCCCCAGGGCTACTTATGCACATGGAGGCGCTTATCACAATGCAAGTACTTTATTCTAAATTATTCATACCCAGAAATCGGGGAAACAAAGACACAGTGGATCTTTGTTCATTTGCTCTTCCCAGCAAAACTGGTGCTGAAGTAGCTACTTGACTTTGCAACTAACACATAAGTAGTAAGAGGCCTGCTGTTTCAGCCACTTACATAATACCTCATTACAACGTTTCTTCAAAAGTAGAATGAAGGTGAAGAGAACAGAGAGAACCAGAGGGAAGATTACGGGAACCTTTCTGTGAGCCTCAGTGTGAAGGCTGACGCCGGCGCCTGCTTCCCACACACACACACACACACACAGCTTCAGGCAAGGAAGTACCTGCGAGGAGCAGGATGATCTGTTGCCTTGTGATATCTTTAAATATTTACTGGATGCTACTACACAACAACACTGTTAAACACTTTCACATCATTATACATTCCTCACAATGACTTTGAGAGGTAGGAATCAATCTATTTTTGTCTTTTGCAGGTTTTTGAAAAACATTTACTAAGCAGAAAATATTTCACAGGTTACTTGTGTTTCCATTTTAACCTTTGCTTGCTACCAAAATATTTATACAGCAGAAACTGTCATCCACATTTACATTATTATTATTATTAATTTATACTTCCCTATAATCCTGAGAGGTACAAATCTTTTTTTCTTTTCCAGTGTTGGGGATGGGATTAAACCTTGGGCCTTGTATGCACATGTGCTAGGCAAGTGCTCTACCACTGAGCCACATCTTCAGCCTCCAAACTTTTTTTATAGATAAGAAACTGAGTCCAAGAGGACTGTTTTTGTAACTTGGCCAGTTACATAGTTGAAAAGTAAACACATAGGTATTTAAATCTTACATGTCAGGTGCATGTGACAGGAGGAAACCAACAAAGGAATGAGATGCTAATAGGGAAGCCAAAAACATTCAAATACCTCCAAGAGGTCTCAGTTCTTCCTTCTACTGAGCCACCTCCAGTAGGTAAGAAATAATGGATTTTTCTCTGATGTAAATGTAACATTTCTCATGCAATCAGGGAAGAGGCTTGTAGTAATCAAAAAATGTAAAAATTTATTGGGGAAAAAATAAAAATATTGGAACACATCTAATTTGAAAACTGCTAACTTTGTCATTTCCACCCATCCTGGTACAAACTTACTAGGACATTTCACTGTGGCTTTAAATATTACAATTTAAATTAAATCTAAAAGGTCAACTTATTCTGATATAGTTGAGGTTTTCTATCAATGAAAGAAAGGACAGTTGAGGAGAAACACTAGCTGGCTTCTTAATTACTGCTGTAACTAAATTCCTTATTTTGGCAAGGAACTAGAAAAAGGAGGTGGGGCTGTAAACGCAGAAAGAAAGCTGCTTGCCTGGGAGGAAAAATCATGGAACAGAACAGCGAGGGAAGCAGGGCCTCTTCCCCAAGTTAGAGCCTTACGCAGAAGCTAAGCACTTTGTACACTAATCCGGCATTCTCTGACCCTGAAGCGTCTAAAACAAATGTCCCACCAGAAAGGGATCTGCATGGTCACAACTGTGAGGGAACCCTCACAGAGTTCCCATAATTAAGTGGGATTTCTCCAGGTTTAAGCATACATACCACTGGTCATGTGAGACACTTTTGCAAGTTTCTTCATCACGTTGTCTAGCCGAGACTGAGTGTTCTCCAGCTCATGAGAGAAATCATCCAACATGCTACAGATGGAAACAAACACAAGGCAGGCAGTAAGCACAAAACCTTGGAAAGGCATTGCCACGGAATTTAGTCAGTGTCTAGGCCTCCATTTTAGCAAACCTAAAACAGCAACTCTGGGATTCAGGACCCCAATTTATTATTCAAAATCCTTGGGACAAGACATGTTTTTGAATTTGGAGTTTGAGGGATTTTTAACATGACAAGCTACATATACTGTATATTTGTCTACATTCCCAGCAGGACATGGGGCAGTCCCTTAATGAAACATATTTTTGCCGAGAAAACTCTGACAAATGAGAGTTAATCAGCTCAGGTAAGGTCTTCCTGTAACAAGAGCTTGCTACAAGTTTAAAAAAAATGTATCTTGAATTTTTAGAGCTTCCCAGATTTTTTTTCTTTTCTTGTTTTTTTTTGTCTTTTTCCTTTTTATCGGTACCAGGGATCAAACTCACAACTGCCTGCTTGCAAGGCAGGTGCTTATGCCGCTGAGCTAAATCCCCAGCCCCCTTTTCTTGCTTTTTTAAAGTACTAAGAATTGAATCTACGATCTTCATACCAAGCCATGTTCCTATCCCCTTTTTTTTACCCCCCACCCCCCACCCCGCTCCCCTTTTTTCTTTTGAGACAAGGCCTCACTAAATTGTCCAGACTGGCTTTGTATTTGCAGTCCTCTGGCCTCAGCCTCCCACAGAGCTGGATTACAGGTGTGTGCCACCATGCACCGTGGAGAGTTCCTCAATGTCAGAAGTACAGAAAAGGCAATGAGGACATGCCTATACAATACTGGAAACTCAGTGGCAGAGCAGTGCAGTAGAAAGCAAGTTCTGGGGGCCTGGCATTTTTAGCTCAGTGGCCTAAGCGCCTGCCTGGCAAGTGTAAGGGCATGAGTTCGATCCCTAGTAAGGAAAAAACAAAGAAAGCAAATTCTGAGAAGTCAGCCAGCCATGTTTTGCCCCCAGCAATCTTGCTACAATAGACAAGACACCTCACTACTCGCTGTTTCCTCACCTGTAAAATGCGGTGACTCTACCAGCCCAATTTCCATCACAGGGTTTTTCTGAAGACCATGAAATATGTCAAAGCGCATCATGTCAACATGAGTTAAGGAACAGAATTTAATCTGCTCCATTCTCCTTCTAAGCGTTCTGTGCTTTGTCATGATGAGGACCCTCGGGACTGAGACCCCTGGTAGAGTACGTGCACCTCCATGTCTGCTCACGGAGGAGCCAGTGTTTCCTCCAGAACTCTCCCCAGGAGACTTCTTCTATTAGATGTCCAATATGTGGTGGGGAAAAAACCCAAAACACTGTACTTTCATTTCAGCAGTGCTCATTTCATAAATTACTACACATTCCAGATTTTTCAACTTTTGATTAATATGTGATTATTTTGAGGCTAGAATTAACACACCAATTAGAACCAGGGCTCTTACTACAAAGGCCTTATTAACTCTGACAGTGTCATTGGCAGTTAGAAACTATTGGTCTTGGTGTGTGGCCACAAAGAACACATGAGAGTCCTGTAGGATTTGAGGTGACCAGCTTCTCATTAAGTAAATTATTAAATAAACTCATACTAACAACTAAATAAGTAAGTCTTTGTTCTTTACCTGAGTCTGCAAATTAAAACATTTTCAGTGCATCTTAGATCCTGGCACTGTTCTGGCCCTGCAGCTGGCAGGCCTCTGCAGGCAGGGCCAAACACTGACAAACAAGAGCTACCTTTGTCTGCCAAGTATGGCTTTTCTTACTGCAGACAAAACAGGCACGTCATTCAACCTTCAGCCAAGGATATCCATTACCCAAGCTCCCTACCCCACTCTAACTCAACCCGACACAAATACAATGCAAGGTGCACATGCCATTGTGTATCATACAGTAGCCATTTTAAAAAATAAAAACAGGTGAAATTTTAATAATCTATCATTTCAGATATATATATATATATATAAAGAGTACCAATAAGTTACCTTCCATGTCTCACACAGTCCAGTGTGTGCTGTACTCTCACAGCACAACTCCGAGCTCCGACTGGCCACGGTCCACCTGCTCACCAGCTGCACGAATTGCATGCTGGACAGCATAGGACTGGGTCTCACACCCATGTCTTTCCCTTTTAATTTACGTTTTATTGGAGTTATATATACACCCCGTTTAAAGAGACAAATGGCTGTATAGACTTTCCATGAAAACTCGGTTTTAGGAAAATTCAATTGTTTTGTTTCAATTTTACTGACTCAGCACTATCCTACCGTGAGATTTAGCTCTTTCTCCATTTGATTCCCACTTCCTCATAGCTATGTGATGGTTCGATTAGATCAATACTCAGCATTTACAATAAACTACTGAATAAATGCTATTCACAGCTGAGTGGGGTTGGAATATGAATTACACTATTTCCTGAGGGAACTCATTGCTGGCTGGGGATTCAGCTTGCTCTGGCCTGTTGAGTTCATAAACCAGCCATCTACCTGCTTTCTAAAGCTAAAATGTTAAGACTCTTGTTTCTTATTCCATGTTGTGTGACCTCACAGGTTTTGTGGCTTAAAAAAAAATCCCTTTGGCATCATTTTAGTGGCTGTTAGAGGGAATCGAGATAAAGGGTGCATTTAACAGAGAGGCTTTCTCTATTAGTAGGCTGCCACACCAGCAGAGCAGCTCAAGCCATTAGTTCCCTGTCACTTCTACCAGAACATCGGGATCCGAAACCATCTGAGATAGAAAGGAAACCTTTGTGTCCAGAGCCCCGCTGCTTCAGCATCCTCCACCTGCTCTCCCTGTCTGGCCCCACTCTTAACTTACAAAGTTTTATTTCCTTATTTTTTTTAGAGAAAAGTTCTTTTTGTTAACTGGAGTTAACGCTGTAAGTTATTTCATAAAGTAGCCAGTTAAGATGACAGAAAGTCCTGTTCGCTGCATCAGGCAGCGAATGAGGACTGGCTCCTAATACTAACTTTGTGAGTCTCCCTTCCCCTAGGCCATTCTCTGTAGAACACACAGGGGCTTTAGTCACACCTGTTTCATATTCTCATTCATAACTATGTTTCAACTACCGGTACAGAGAAATTTCTGTCTGTTTTTTGAGGTATTTAAAAACCATAACCTCACCTAAGCCCTATCATAATTTTATCTAATAGATTTGCTTCTTCTGGAGGCTAGTCTGTGCAGCTGAATAAAAATGCAGATGAAATAGCTTTTGGTTTTACCAGCCATATAACCAGGCCTTTTAGGGTTGGCTTTTCCTTCAATTTCACTGCAGCAAAAGGGGCTCAATACTCACACTGCCTGCTCCTCCAGCTCCCCTCCTATGCGCTGGGACATGTTCTTCAGCACCCCAATGCTGCCAGAGACCAGCTCCAACTGCTCATCCTGCTGTTCCACAATCAACTGGTGCCAGAGAAATGGGAAATAAGCAATTAAAATCCATCTTACCTGGTTCCAAGCCCAGCACTCTAGCAGCTGCTAGTTTCTTTGCCAGCTTGGGACAATTCACATTCAGAAGCAAAGCCCAGAAATCAAAGGACCAGACCATTGCCTCTGAGTACACGCTGCTCAAAAGGCTGGATTGTCAAACTACTGAGATCTCCTACTGATCCAACTGGGGAATAGTCAGCAGGGCTTGAAACCACCAAGAGAGATTTACTTTGGTTGGCTGAAGGCAAATAAGGGAACAGACAATGGCCAAAATCACATGTGCAGATGACCACCGAATTATGGGACTCTCTGGGAGGAGACCCACTGCTAAGATCAAGATCTCAATCCATAGTGCACTGCCACAGCGTAAATGTAAGCTTGGCAGGTCTCTGGATGTGGAAAAACTGCACAATGAGTCTTTTTCTTCCTCCGCAAGGACAATCAAGAGAAGTGGCAATAAGTTATTTCAAGGACAACTACTGACTGGCAAATGACTATTTACTTTGGTGTTCCATCCCACTGTCTATAAAAAAGCTGGTTAATAAGCCAATATGCTAATGGATAGAACACACAACTTTCACAAGTACTTATTTATAAAACAGTACATAAGAACATTTCCAGTGGGTAGATGACCTTAAATCTCCACATACATTATCACTGGTTCTGTTATTACTATGGCTACATATCAAAAGCAACAACACAGACATAATCAACTTCACTTTCCTTCTACTCTCAATCTCCACCAAAACAACTGTTTTTATGTGCAGGAAAAAGCTAACCATATGCAGTGAAAAAAAAAAAAGGACTCTACCTTTCTCAAAGTCTGTTGAACAAAAACCCCAATATACAAATAAGAAGCTAGGACAGAGATTTTCTTTTCTTTTCTTTTCAAAAATCCAAGGCCAGCTGGGAGTGGTGGCACATGCCTGTGAACCCAGCACCTGGGAGGCTTAGGCAAGAGAATTCAAGGCCAGCTTGGACTACATAGTGAATAGCGAGTTCAAGGCCAGTGTGAACTACAAATCGAGATCCTGTTGCAAAAAAAAAAAAAGTATCCTAGGCCTTGTCTGTCAATTTGGATGTTGGCTCTGCTGTTTTCCTGAGACCTAATCAAGCATGGTTCTCTTCAGCATGCTGCTCTAAAAGTTTTTTTATTTGGTTGGGTTTTTATGTTTTTGGTGGAGTGCTGGCCATCAAACTCAGGGTCTCACACATGCTTGGCAAGTGATCTACCACTAAGCCACATCCTTACGCCTGTTTCTAAAATTTTGAGACAACTGGGTGTGGTGGTGTACACTTGTAATTCCAGTACTCAGGAGGCAGAGGCAGGAGGATCACTGCAGGTTTGAGGCCAACCTAGGCTACATAGTGAGTTCAAGGCCAGCGTGGGCTACAGTAAGACCTTGTGTCAAAAAATCAAATCAAATAAAATAATTAATTAAAAAATAAAATAAAATTTTGGGACAAGGTCATACTAAGTTGCCCAAACTGAACTTGAATTCAATATTCTTCTATCTCAGCTTCCCAACTAGCTAGGATTACAGGTGTGTACCATCATGCTCAGTTGTACTCTCAAGGTTTTAAAACTATACACACATACACACATTACTTATTTGACACAGTCAACCACAAGCCAAGCTCTGGTCTAACCCGTTTGCCATTAGACACAAACCCTCTGGCTGGCAGAAGAAGCAGGGGAGGGGCCCCGCCCCCGCCTCCGCCTCCGCCTCCGCCTCCACCTCCCATCCTTGGCTGGCTGGACTCTGGGTACCTGCTGCTGTGCCTGCTGCTCCTCGATGAAATGGGAATTGGCTAACTGCAGCTCTCGATCAAGGCGACTGTACTGATCCGTCGATCCAGTGTTCCAGTTCTGGCTGCCACTGTCACCAAGCAGTGCCTGTGTGAGTGAAGATGACAAAAGTCAGAGAAACAAGCAGGTACTGTGTCTGAATAAGTGACATATTGTGGTGACAGGAAGGGGCAGGCTTTCACTCGTGGTACAACATAAGGAATTCCAGGATGGGCCCTCTCGTCTTCACCCTCCTCCCATGAGCCTCACACATTGGCTTTATCCCCTGAAAATCTCTACATTAAATCAAAACACACTCAACTTTAAAAGGTATCACAGTGCAACAGTACTTAGTTTCAACAGCCCTTCCTAGGAACCAGGACTCAAAGGTCTAGTTAAATTGGCTCCACAGATCTGAAATCTACTGTTGAAGGAAGATCCAGGGAAGTTTTGGTTTCTTCGGGGGGAACTGGGATGACCTTCCCAGAATAACAAGGTATGCCTCACACATAGAAGGCACAGAACCACTTATGTTTGTTAGATTTAATTTCTATATAAAACTCAACGTCCTTCAGCAGAAATGTAAGTTACTGGCTTCCCAGACAATACCGGGGGTTGCTTCACAGGCAGGTATGATCACAAAGAGCACCTGGTCCTGACTAGGCATGTACTGGCCTGATTTCGGTCTCTGCCAGGTCTCCTGGAGGCCAGGTGAGGTGTGCCAGGCATGAATTCAAAGAAGTGTGAAGCCAGAAATCACATTTGGGAATGTCTTCCTTACACAAGTGGCAAGGCAGTGGTGGCAGCTGGTTTGGACTAGTTTCCCACCTTATGACAGGTTCAACAGCAGCTCAGGCCAGCCCTACGTCAAGACCCACAAGATGCTGAAAACTAAGATTCTTTTTTTTTTTTTTGGGGGGGGGGTATACCAGGAATCAAACTCAGGACCTTGTGCTTGCCAGGCAGGTGCTATGTTGCTATGTCCCCAGCTGTGCAACTAAGATTCTTATAAAGTTAGCAAATCTTTACATCAGGTCTTTAAAAAAACTTGTGGACACTATTAGAAGCCCGACCATTTACTTGGTTCTTTGAAAACTCCTCCAATATCCTTACAACCCTCCTCCACACCCGCACTGGTCTCCTCAGGACTTTCAGAGGTAGATTCTGTCTAAATGCCAGGTTTCAGGCGACAGGAGGTGGGAAGCTCAGGGGCAGAGCACCAAGTGCTGAGATAGCAGAAGACCTCCTAAGACACTCAGTTATCAGTTCTTCTCAGGACACCTTTGAGGGGCCCAGGGCATCAGTCAAGAAGTAGGGTAAAGCAGACCCAAAGGCCTTTGGTAGTGGTTCTGTCCTGACCTGGCTTATGGTTATCAAGACTGATAAGATCTTGCTCATTCTAATCCAAAATTCTAGGAATCCCCATGGAGGATACTGGGGCCTTGGGACAACTTTTTCAGGGTCATAAAAATGGGTATGCAGTGTACCGTTAGGCTATGGACAGAGAGCCAGGGCTCCATAAGGATCTAGTGTGCTCCTGGGGCCCTAGTGAAGACTATGTTTTATACAACATATCTACATTCACAGGACATATGTTGTTAAAAATCATTTGGATTTTGTCATGAAGTTTATTAGTGTTCATCAGTCTGACCTTCAGGAATATGTTCTAATGGGAAAAAAGATGGTGAGGGCTCCAAACACTAGAGGATGGCCCTTGGGGGAGGGAGGATCACAGAAAGTGCTGGGGAAGTGGGACCAACACAGTACTAGGTACCTGGCCCTAAGGCTGACTCAACCCACTTGAAGATCTGAAGAACACTGACCCTGCCATTCTTTGAAAATCTGAGGCTCTATGACATTTCATTCCTGGCCTAAAACAAGATTTTAAGCCATATCTGCAAAAGCAATGTTTATACTCACTTTACTCATGTTACCTCAACTACACTATCTGGAGAATAAAACATTCACAATAGGAGTAACAGAGGAGAGGCATTATCTACCACATTATCACAACTATTTCAGGTATGTAATGTCACTTCACATATGCTCTAAATGCAAAACTAGTCAGCAGTGGCCATTCATCAGCTTCTTTCAAGAGTTGCAATCAGATGAAATGACCTAGCTGTAGTGTTCAAAAAGGGCAAGGGTGTTAGATAAGAACAAAACAAAACACTTTAAAAATGAAATGTGGGGAAAAGAAACAAAAAGTTGAGTGACACTTATGGACTGCTTTCAAAATTAAGTAGCTCAATAAACATCCAGAGGATAAAGATTTATGCTATGAACTACTGAGGTCAAGTTAGATTGAGGCATTTCTTAAACGAAGAGGCTACTAAATGGATTATTGGAACCTTTCTGAAATCTGAACAGAATACAGTTAGGATAAGTGATTTAAAATAAGCAGCATAGGGCTGGGGATTTCGCTCAGCAGCATAAATGCCTGCCTTGCAAGCATGCAGTTTTGAGTTCAGTCCCTGGTACCAAAAAAATAATAACAAAATAAAATAAACAGCATCATAGCTACTGACAGCAATGTTCAGACAGGCTGACCAGGTGCTACGGTTTGGCAGTGTCCCCTAAAGACCCACATGTCAAAGGGTTGGTAACCAGTCCTTGGCCAACTGGAAGATGGTAGAACCCATCCATTCAAATATCTGTCTAACTACTGTGGTACTTGGGACTGAACCCAGGACCTCTGGACTGAGCTACAGCCCCAATCCTTTTTATTTTGATACACAGTAGTGCTAAGTCAGTAAATTGTCCAAGCTGGGTTCAACTTGCAGTTCTCCTGTCCCAGCCTCCCAGAGTGCTGGGGTTATAGATGAATGCCACCATATTCAGCCTGGTAGAACCTTTAGGAGGTGGAGCCTGGTATAGCTGTGGTGAACCCTATAGAGTCCACAGGAGCCAAGTGGCCCCACACAAGGGCGGACAAGTTATCAGCATGCATACAACAGCAAAAAATACTTCAAGTGCATAAAACATGCCAGATGCAAACTTTTACGTTTCAATAAAAAGCTGTATCGCTAAAAGCTCTGTTATTGTGTTTTTCTTTTAAAACAAAAGATGCTAATGTATGAATTGTTTTTTCTGAATTAAAACCTCAGTATTAAAGGTTAATTTCAGTATTGACACTTTCCAATAAATCAGTGGGTTTTGGGTTGCAGTTTGAGCATTCAGCTTGCCATCACTGACCTTAAGGCAGGTTTTCTGACCAGAAATCTGGGATACACCTCTAACCCCTTTTGCTTCCTTTTTCACATTCACAGCCATGAGATAAATGGTCCTTGCACATGCTGCTGCCATACTGTCTTGTAACAGACCCAAAAGCAATGGGGACAACCAATCATGGAGTACAACTTCCAAAGTTGTGACCCAAACTAAACCTTCTCTCTTTGTATGCTAACTATCTTATATATTTGTTGCAGTAATGAAATGCAGACGAACATGCTAGACTTTCACAAAATTGGCTAGTGTCACTCACTCCAGGCTCAGCACCCACAGGTCTTGTTTTTGATCACATGCTACCTGGTTGACCAGTACTTTCAATATCCAAGTACGTATTCCTTAGGTTGATACTTGTGTTTTGGTATTTTCTCACCTGTCTGTTTTTCCTTTCTGCTAATGCCTGCACAGATGATGTCGACATCTGATCCTTCATGTCCTAACAAAACATATAAAAAAAAAAAAAGAATCACAAAACAAATGAAAAACATCTTTAAAGAAAATCATGGTTAACATTTCAAACTTAGTAAAATTGCTATGTTCTTACTTTTTAAATGAAAACACATTACTTAACTTTTATTTCAGTATTAAAAAGAAAAGAAATACAGATAAAGAACTTTCCTGAAAGTAGGTAACCTAAATTTAAACAGGAACAAAGAAGTAAACATGAAACATCCTAGATGCAGAAAAACTATGGTAACTTTCTCAAAGTCACACAGCTAGTAAATGGCATCCTTGTGATAGAAATGTAAAAGCCTGTGCTCATGGGCTAGCACACTTTTACAAACATGCATAAAAAAGCACATACACTTTAGTATATTATATAGTGTATGATCCCTTATTTTATTTTGGGAGTGGTATTCAAGTGACAGAAACTATTTAACACCACAGTGAATTTACAGGGTGGTTATCAAAAACAATTTTGTAGCAGAAAGAAAAATGAATCAATCTATTAACTTAATCTCAAGCAAATATGTTACTGAATTCAGTCATTTCACTTATCACATTTAATCACAATCTAATACATTGTGAAATGATGTAAAGTAAGTATGTGATGACTGAAATAGAATTCTTTTTTCTTGGGGAAACAAAAAGGCTGTCAAAATACTTTATAATTCTTATCTTGCATGTAGACTTCTTAATGATGCAAATGTAAAGGTATTTGATTTTTAGAAACTTCCTCTAAGACCTATTACAAGAGAACAGTAGATCAGACAATGCCACAGCTTTTAGAATTCCTACTGTGGTCTAAATAATAACCACCTTCTTTCAACTTTCAAAGCACTCACGCATTCAGCAAGTACTGATATCTAATATATGCACAGCATGGAGCAGAAAATGATGCAAATTAGGATCCTGTTCCCCTACAGTTCACATGGTGATTTATGTGAGACACCAAGATATTGTTAAAAATGCAGTTTTTTGGGCCGCCATGCAGACCTACTAAGTCAGACACCTTATGGAGCATTTTAACAAGTCTCTCTGCTGAGTCTTAAAAGACTGAAAGTTGAGAGCCTCAGGTCTATTCAAAGTCTAAAAGCTGCCAAGTGACACAATGGTTATGTCAGTACCTCCTGGTCTATAGGATCCCTTTCCAGTAAATTACAGTTTAAAATAACTGTTATATTCAATCAAATGATCCCATTTATTTGACAAACATTAATACAGTAACTGTATAAAGCAATACTTGAAGTGTGCACCAGGGGAATAATACATTCATTTAAAAATGTATACTATGCCATTCATTTTGTAGTCATGTTTCTTTAAAAACAAAAAAGAACATGTTACTTACAATATAAAAACATTGATGCATATATGGAAAAGTGCAGCTTTCAAACATCATATATGGAATATGATCCTGCACATCAGAGGTTATAAAGGCAAGGATGAAGATAACAACTGTAACAGCACAAAGAAGTGGCTAGGGGCATGCGTACTGTGCGATGCTTCTGGCTGCTCCTGAGAGGGTGTGTCCAGTTAATTAATGCATCAAGCTGTGTAATCCGGATACATGAACTTTTCTGTATTGTTATACTTCAAAAAAAAAAATTTTTTTTTTTAAATTCTCGCCTCCTAAACGTGAATGAATGGTAAAATGGACCAACTTTTTTTTTTGTTTTTTTTTTGGACAGGGTTTCACTATGCAGTTCAGGCTGGCCTTGAATTCACTTTGTAGCATAGGCTGGCCTCAAACTCACAGGAATGCTCCTGCTTCCGCCTCCCGAGCACTGGGATTACAGGCATGCACCATCACATCTGGTTTCTGGACCAATTCTTTGAAAATAAATTTTGTAATACAAAGACAAGAAGATGATAAGAGGAGCCATAACTTAAGGATTAAGAACATAAAAGAAGAAGTAGGGACACAAACAAATGGACTACAAAAGCTACTCACAGAAATAATCCAGGAGAATTTTCCTAATTTAGCAAAAGGTAAAGATACTCAGATGTACGAGGCATACAGGACCCCAGCTACCTACAACCCTAACAGAGAAACACCCAGGCATATAATAATAAAAATTCCAGAAATTCAATACAAGAACAGAATATTAAAAGCTGTAAGGGGGGCTGGGGATTTAGCTCAGTGGCATAAGCATCTACCTTGCAAGCAGGCAGTTGTGAGTTCGATCCCCAGTACCAATTAAAAAAAAAAAAAAAAAAAGCTGTAAGAGACAAGAAACAGACCACTTACAAGGGAACACCCATCAGAATTACAGCAGATTTCTCTGCACAAACCATCAAATCACGAAGAGCATCGGGGGAAATAATTCAAGCTTTGAAAGATAATAATCTTCAGCCAAGATTGAGATATCCTGCACAACTGTCCCTGGAAATTGATGGAAAAACAAGGTGCTTTTAGGATAAAGAGGAACTGGGGGAATTTGCAACCACCAATTCAACCCTACAGAAAGTATTGCAGGATATTCTAAAAAAAGAAAAATACAAAGAACCCAGAAATAGTGGCAGGAGGCCACAATGAATGAAGCAGAGAACAAAATGAAGAAGACAAACTGACAGCTACTGACAGAAAAAGAGCTCAACAGAAACGAGACAAAGATTGGATGATAGGAACAGCTATTTTAGAGAAAATGACCATCTTAATAGGTAATACTGATTTAGTATCATCTTGTTTTGAAGTCTCATCTAGCTTTTGTTCTTCTGTCTCCAATGGTCTAAACAGGTTGTATATTATTGGATTTTATTATGTACGATAGTATAAGCAAAAACCTTTTAAAGACAAGGAGATTATACAGAAACCATTGTTCATTTTCTGTTAGTCGATTCTAAATACTCTGTAATGCTGTCATTCTCTTAAATGGTTTTACATTGTTTTGATATTCTTAATGCTACAGTATATGAAGTTGTACTCAAGGACTTCAAGGAAAGAGTCAATATGGTAACTACTTTTAGGTCGGAATTATCTGGTGGTGAAACACTATTCTGCTTAAATGGTTATGTTTTGATCTGCGCTGTTTTGCTGTTATGCCCTCTTTTTTCTCAATCTCCACTCCATTATTTACTTTTTCATTTTTATCCGTTTAATTAAAGGGAAAAAAATAGCAGGATATAATATAGTAACCCACTTTGACTTTCTATTATCTCGATTTGAAGCCCTGTATTACTCTCACCATCTTGTTTTTGACTGATGTTCCCCTATTCTGTTTTGCTGGATAGTATCAGGTTCAAAAGTTTAGGCATCAGCTGAGAAGATAATGAGGTTCATTATAACGCCCATTCTCGTTGACTTTTATCTACTTTTGAAGACCTACAATGTCTCCAATGTTTTGGTTTTGTTCTTTACTATTTTGTTCAATTGTATTATAACTAATGATATAGGCAATTCTATTAGAGATAGCGGGAGGCATTATGGTAACCATTGTTGATCACCTTGTATTATGTTTTTATATTATCTATTATGTCCACCCTTTTGACTTGACCGATTCTGTTCTGTTATGTCTCATTTGGTTTTACTCTCTTCCAAAAAAGCAATAAGAACCGTGGGAGCAATGAAACCCAAAATGTGTAATAGTCATTGTACAAAAGAGAGGAAAAGAAAGTGCTCTAAACTATATAACTGCATGTATATTTAAGTGTATAAGATAGAAAATGATATCACAGAGTTTTATTGGATCACTGAACAGAACTGTTTGCAGTATCATTGTTGGAATGTCCACTCTACAAGCTTTAATTTTGTGACTTGAACAATTATTTTTAAGATGGCAATATGTAATTCATTAACTAGTGATTTCCTACTGTTCATTTTTTTCTTCTGTAAATCTGTATAACTTGTACCCTTTCACTTTTTTTTTTCTCCTTAAATAAAAAAAAAAGAAAATAAATTTTGTTATTCTGTACCAAGAGTCTCAAATACATATACTGCCTTGATTCATTAATTGCATGAAAAGCATTTAAAGGAAATATGCAAAAATGTACACTGCAGTGTTATCTGCAACTGACATTAAATCTACATAATGTAGTATTATGTGCTAGACACTGCCTTTAGGAAGATAATTCTGAAAATAGAGAATACAGTATATGATCACATGCAAAGAAACACTAACCCTTAAGTGCAACTAAGGGAGGTTTTTCCCAAATGGACTAAGAAAGCTGAAAAAGACCGATAATATTTAGTGTTACTTATTAGGATAAACAGAATCTAATACTCTGCTGTTAGAAATAAAACCTTGGATTGGGAAAGTAGCTTAGCAGCAGAGCACATGCTTAAATTGTGCAGGGTTCTGGATTCAGTTACAAAAAAAAAAAAAAGAAAAGAAAAGAAAGAAGAAAAAAAGAAAAGCCGGGTTGGTGGCACACTCCTGTAATCCTAGCACTCAGGAGACTGAGGCAGGCAGATCCTTGCAAATTCAAAACCAGCCTGGGCTACAAAGTGAGCCTAAGGCCAGCCTGAACCGCATGATGAGACCTTGTCTGAAAAAGATGAAAAAAAAGAAGAAGAAAAAAAGAAAAAAGTGAAAGAAAGAAAAGTCAAGTCTTTTTGTAGATATACCACTTTGGAAATATTTAATAACACTTAATGTGTATTCTCAATAAATTCCTTACTATGTAAGTATCTAAGTTATGTTCACATAGTCACTGACATATGGACTGCAATTGCTAAAAACACTGATTAAAATATCTACTGGTAGGCCAGTCATTAAATTAACAGTCACATTAGAGAAGACAAAAGAACATGGTCTTTTGTGTCAAAGAGCTAGATTCAAGACGCAATAAGAAAAAATAAAATAAAAAGACTCAGTAATAGGTCAGATATGATGGCACACGGCAGGCTGTGGCACAAGGATCACAAGACCGAGCCCATGCTGGGCAACATGGCAACTTAGCTAGTCTGACTCAATAAAAATAAAAAGGATGCCAGGTGTGGTGGCACACTTGGTGCTGTAATCCCAGCACTTGAGAGGCTGAGGCAGGAGGATTGTTGCAAATTGAAGACCAGCCTGGAATACAAAGTAAACCCAAGGCTAGCCTGAACTGCATAACAAGACCGTATCTCAAAAAAAGTAAAAATAAATAAAAAGGATAGGAATAAAGGGATACAGCTCAGTGCAAAGCTACCCGTAGTAGAAAAAAAAAAACTAGTAATACTTTTACTAATCACGCTGTTAGGGCAATTTTCCAATTTCTCTTTTTCTGTTCAGTATTTTGGATAATAGTATCTTATGGGGTGGGTTACTGTGGAGATTAAAAAGATAATACAAGAAGTGTGATTAAGAGTGACCTATACTCAACTGTGGTTTCCCCTAAACCAGCCCTTTTCAGCTCAAAGCAGCTAGATGGAAACTGCTCCTCCTCTCCTAACCACAGTTAGGGATATCTCTTCAGTGTGGGGAATATTACACACTGCTATATTAGGTGGAAATATAGTAGGCAGCCAGACAGGGCTGGGCCCTCCAGCGAGTCAGTGCAGGAGATGAGAACACATCAGAACTATGGCTGGAGGTGAAGATTAAAATCACAATGGTTAGATTTATACGCTTTCCTTATTGCTATCATTCTTTGGAGATTTCCCATTATCTCATTGGGGTGGGTCATCCTCTTCCACTCACTAAGACCAAAACCACTAAGACTAAGAGAAAAATAAAACTAAGACTACAGATTATCAACCAAGATTAATGATGTCACCCATATGCTCTTGCTGCCCCTGGATCAATAGTACCTAAGCATCTATATCTGCAATCTTGGCTGATCATAATTTTGACCCATTTTGTACCCTCCTTGTGATTTTGCTCTATAAAACTTTCTTTGAGAAGTAGCTCATTGGCAGCCTATTCAGGACCCCTCCTGTCTCTCAGAAACTCAGTCTCACTATGCAGTTCAGGATGGCCTTGGGCTCACTTTGTAACACAGGCAGGTCTGGAACTTGCAACGACCCGCCTGCCTCAGCCTCCCATGTGCTGGGATTACAGGAGTGCGCCACCTCACCTGGCTGATTAAATGTTTAAGTGATACTCTTTTCAATGTACTAGGGTAAGTAAATGATGTATACTTATTCCTTTTTATTTTACTGTAACTACTAGAAATAAAATGCTTATGACTGACAATAGCATAATCATAACTGTAAAAACGTAACAAAGAGGAAAATGACTTAAGAGAAAACATAAGAGTATTCTGTTTATTTTATTTTGAACTTGTTTTTCTATTTTGAGCCCTTGTAAAATTCTTTGTTTTTTTTTTTTTGTCTTTTTCCTTTTTATCGGTACCGGGGATCGAACTCACGACTGCCTGCTTTATAAGGCAGGCACTTATGCCGCTGAGCTAAATCCCCAGCCCCAAGAATCCTTTTTTTTTCTTTTCGGTACTGGGGATTGAACTCACGACCACCTGCTTGCAAGGCAGGTGCCGCTGAGCTAAATCTCCAGCCTCCTTGTAAAATTCTTGTCATTTTCTTTAATGAACATATACTGCTTTAATGAAATACATGTTTTTTGAATTCTAGACGTTTTTATCTTTTTGAGACAGGGTTTAATTATGTAGTTCAGGCTGGCCTTGAACTCACTTTGTAGTCCAGCTGTCCTCAAACTCACAATAATCCTCCTGCTTCTGCCTCCCAAGTGTTGAGACTACAGACATGTGCCACCACACCTGGTTAAAATTCTAGTTTGTTTTTTGTTTTTTTTTTTAAAACTGGGAATCAAACTCAGGACCTTGTGCTTGCCAGGTAGGCGCTGTGCAGTTGACCTATATCCCCAGCCCTAAAATTCTAGTTCTCAAAGTTTTCTGTTTAACAGAAATATTAAGGCAGTGTATTCTGTACCTTGTGTGGTAGGCAGCCAGTATATGGCGCCAGATAAAAGAGTCCCACCTTTCACTTCTAAAACAGCGTTTTATCTATGTAGGTTGAAGTCACCAACCACCATACAACAGATCACCTTCATACTGGGAGATGAAATTTTAAGCTGTGTTACTAAACAGTTTTCAACATTTTGTAACAATCTATCATGCCAAAAACATAATTACTCATCTTCTTCCTAACACATGAAGTTTGGAATTAGCAGTCAAGAAGCAGTTAGTCCCAATAAAATATGGTTCATCTGCCAAAAAAACAACAAATGTCCTGGTTATTTACGTTCCTGTTCCCACTGCGAGCTATCTTCCAAGCTGAAGGAATGAGACATTCTAAATCTCTGGGCTTCTTACAGGTCTCATATCCCAGAATCATCTGTGCATATGCTGGATATCTTACCCTTTTTGATTAACAAAGTCATTTCTATCATGATTCATAAATGACTATAACCAATTTTTGGGTTGTAACATGGGTTTTTTTTGGTGGGGGCAGATATTAACTCATTCATTTTGTAACTTAAAAGTCAGAGAATGTTAGGATCATATCATTGATAAAAGTGTGATCCAGAGAGGCTGACCGACTTGTCTTCATTAAATTTATTGTGGTTACTGCTTAATCTTGAACTTATGTTTTCTGATCCTTTATTCATTCTTCTGCCATATACTGTAAACTCTTTCACTACTACACCAAAGTCACTGTTGGAGAATATTTCCAAACCATAAAAATTTCAAATTTGTAATCTCTTGATGTGACTCCACACAAGTAAAAATGATTACCTCAAAAAATATGAATGCCACTTAAATAAAATTAGAATATTTTGCTTCCTGCATTATTTTTTTTGTGGTGCTAGAGATTGAACCAGGGTAATACATATGCTCTGCAAGTGTTCTACCATTTAGCTATGTCCCCAGCCTGAATATTTTGCTTGCTTCAGTAACAACTACCAGTAAAATTTAATAAAAATAGCAAATTTTAAGAGATGGTCACAAAAACATACACAATTAACACTATACAAATCTGTTTAGCTGAATGCAGTAAGGCACTACAATACAATGAGGTTTAAAAAAAAAAAAAAAACTAAAACTGGGCATAGTGGCACACACTTGTAAATCCTAGCACTTGGGATGCTGAGGCAGGAGGCCCCCTGCAGCCAGCCCAGGATACATTGCGAGTTCAAAATCAGTCTAAACAACAGAGTGAGACCTTATCTCAAAAAACTAAAAAACAGAACAAAACAAAAAACTTTCAGTCAAGCTAGTGTCACTGTTACTTCCTTTCTTCTACAGGACTTTTAATTAGAATTCATTATAATCAAATCAGCAAAGCTCAACTAAGTACTGTTACCCATCACTGACAAATACTAACAACTTCCCCAAACAGGGTTGTAAATTAAAACAGGAATTATTAAAAATCCTAATCAGTTGGATCACATAGTTGAATACACTCTAGAAGGACAACAACATTTTGAAATAATTATTTGATTTGATTTGGATTACTGCTCAAGTTTTTCAAATATTACTAAATGAACTTTACGTTCTACTTCCAATTATATCAACTAACCTAGCATGGAAAAATGACCTCTGAGTTCCAATTTATAAAATTCATTAAATGCTACTTTGCAGAAAAAACAAAGAAGTAAAATCAAGAATATATGCTTTACTAGAAAACACCATTAAATATTAAGATCTACAGTAGTGTCCTTCACACAACTCATTACAGAAAGGAAGGAAAGGAGGGAAAAGAAAAGAAAACATGTTGTTTATTTGAAAAATTGCAGATTTATTATACCAAGAAAAAAAGTCACCTAAAAATCAGACTCATCAGAATAGCATTTCAAATGTACTAGAAATCAGAAGGGTCTAACACTGGGCACCTGAAGTCCAGCAAAGTTTTTGCCCCAATAAAACGTAGGCTTATTTATATAGAACATAAACTACTAAAAACAACAAGAAACAGGAATATATAAAGTTCAGTAATACCGTATGAAATCATTTCAAGAGGAAATCACATGATAGTCTTTGGCAAACACCTACCAAGGTTCCTGCCATATGTTAGCACTGGTCTGATCCCAAGTCTTTTTATTCAAGGAAGCTGCTTTCTAGTACATATGTTAAAGACAGCTGGTTCCCTTACATCTAGTTATGCTAATCAAATAGCTTAGCCATATAGTTTCAAATTACAAAACATATCTTAATGTTTACTTAATCTATATTTTCTCCTAGATTCTTTAATAATGGGTATTACTCTAAATAATATAGGGCTAAAGATCTGTTCACCTGAATGGGTTTTTAAACACACTGATAGATGCTACTCGCTCTGGATATCTTCTGAAAGGCTGTCAATAACACAGGGTTGCAAGAGTTCCAGAAGCAATTCAGATGGTGGAAGAGGCCGCCATCCAAGCACAGAAAGTCACTCTTCAACAATGCAAGTGATTTACCAATCAATCAAGAAACTAAATGGTTTTTACAATAGTAATTCTTCCTTCTGTTCAGAAATAAGAGTGTAGTAAGAAATAAAAAAAGAAAAAGATCTCTGGTTTGGAGAAACTAGAGGTACGGACAAGCAGGATGATACTATCAAATAGCCTTCCCAAACTAGCAGACTGTTCTTATTTTTGCTCCAATGAGCCTGACAATATCCCAACATAGTTCTTTCGTTTTCAACCACAGAAGTTTTACTGTATATGAGAAACAGGCATTTAATTTATTGTGGGAAGTGGTTTTAGAATTGACCTATAAGTTTACAACTAAGAGTTCTATGAAGTCTGACTACTTCTTACATAGATGACACCATAAAATCATACTCCTTACCCTGACAACTTGTCGAGTACTTGTAATGAAGGCTTTTCTTATACTTAACTCCGTTGCATCAAGGTTGAATTTTCTAGGATTTGCTTCAACTATGCGTGGATCAAGGAGTCAAGGTAAAGCAATTTCATCAAGAAAGTGTAACCAGTCTTGTTAAACCACAGAATCACTCACATGCAAGCAATAAAATCTGGCCACAACTTTCTGAAAACACAATCAACTTGACATTAAACATTCTCCAACTTTCTTGCCCACAGTTACAGGATTATCTCTTTGCCTCAATATGGAAATAAGAAACAGCCCCTTGGCTGGTTGATACAGTTGAGTCTTAGGGTTTGCCAACACTTTAAATCTATCCTTCTTTGACTTCTGAACACTTTTCCCAGGACAGCTTTTAAAAAGCCTTTTTCAAAGCCATACTGAACTACTTCCTCTTATTCCAAAATGTAAACCTTCTTTTGTTTGTTTGAGGTACTAATGATTGAACTCAGTTATGATTTACTTACTGACCTCTGAGTAGATACTTTATTCCTGTATCTGTTTTTGATCTTGTCCTCTTGTATGTTTTATTTTAGAAAACATATTTACCTTTTAATAATTAAAAAGGTTCCCAGGGTCATTATAATAGAAATAACAGACTCTTCTTATGAACTGCTAACAAGTGAGGCATCCTTACAAAAGCTGGATTCCTGGGTTGGGGGAAAAACAAAACTCAGACACGCAAATGACATGTCTTCCACCTATAGTTTTGGTTAAATGTAATTTTCAGTTGAAAGAAAGGAAATGGGCTTGAGATTTAGATCAGCAGCACAAGCGCTTGCCTGCCTGCCTGGCAAGTGCGAGGTTGTGAGTTTGATTCCAGTACCAAAAAAAAAGGAAATAAAATTTAGCTTCAACAGTTTCCTTAGTGAATTTATTTAACACAAATACCAATAATTAGCATAATAGATCTATTTTTACTAAATGCAATTTCATGATACAACGTAATTCTTCAGTTGATTGTGGCATTTTAACATCTCTTCTTAAAAAGAAAGAGCTAACAAGACTATCTTTTGATCTCTAATTAGCAATACACAACACTGGTCTGTACATATGTAATAATGACTGCTAATACTTTTCTTTTTATGGTAGTGTTGAGGATGGAACTCGGGCCCTTCCACACGTTAGGCAAGTGCTCTACCACTGAGCTATAACCCAAGTCTAACTGACAGTACTTTCATAGAAGCTTATTATGTGCCAAATGCTAAGCTTTTTACATGGGTAAGCCTCTCAACTAACAATTCTAGGAGCTAGGTCCTCCTATTAGCTTAACTTTCTACTGAAGCGGAAATTGAAGCACACAGGTAGCAATATGCCCCAAAACACAGTAACTGGTTATGATACTGTAATATAAAACCCCAAATGGACAGGAATCAAGGAGCTTCCATGTGGCTCAATATGGAAACGTTCCTAGACAGCACTGCTCCTGAAGAGGGCATGGAAGCCCCTACCTTGCCCTGTGCCTCTCTCCCATCTGACTATTCATCTGCATACTCTGTAATCTTTTAAGTAATCCTGCACACCTGCAATCTTCCTTTTAATATAAACAAATAAATATAAGGAAAGTGTTCCCTCAATTCTGTGAGCTACTCTAACATACAGTCAAAACCAATTAGAGGAAGGGTCCGAAGCACAGGTCAGAACCTGAGGGTTGCTGCTGTTCTCTGAATTACTGTGCCCTTAACCTATGGAATCTACTGTTATCTCCAGGTAGTTTCAGAATTGAATAGCACCTAGCTAGTGTCTGCTGCAGAACTGCCTGGTGTCTTCCACACATGTGGTATCAAAAATATTTTACTAAGTATGAGAATAAAGAGATAAAACTATTCTAAGCTTTGCATGGGTGGAGACAGTGCTTGAACCAGCAGCGTTCAAAGTGACACCACTATGCTGCCTCTATATTGCAAGATTTATCATGTACCACGGAACTGGGAGTACACTACCTTAGCTTACCAGAATTTTAAAAATTGTCTCGGTACAAATAAGAGCAATATCAATTAATTATGAAAGGTGTCACCTATGTACTTAGACTGTCTAATTGGTAGTTTACTCCAACAGACACCACAGAAAAGGATATTGATAGTTTCATCGAGGTCCTCCAGATCCCACTCTATGCTTCGGAGGTTGTTTCTCAGCTCGTTGGTGGTCCAGTCGATTTCTTCCCTTGTTGCTGCAGAAGGGTCCTGGAGGAGTTCCGTCCATCTCTGAAACAGCCCCTGGGCAGTGTTGACTGCTTTCTGGACCTCTCTGTAACCAAAGTGGCAAGGGAAAGGAGAAATCATACTCAACAAACTCCGTTACCGAATGGCTTAACTACCATTAGGATCATATATTAACCTCAGCAGTCACAATTCCCTGCAATGTTTGGTATGATAATAATTTATATTCATATGAAAAAGCTCCAGTGTAGGATAGCTTCTTGGGATAGTAACGGCAGAGCGAAGGTCATTCTTATAGAACTCGTGTCTTTAAGGTTAAATATTCTAAGAAATTTAAAAACCCAAATCTTATTAGAAAATTTCCAATATTACTAGCTTTAAATATATCTACTTTCCTAGATTAAACACTTCTGTATATTAGATGAGGGGTTTTATTCTTTACAATGTGATAGTAGGCCAAGAGTGCTATGATGTAGCCTCCCCCACAACCCTTTTTTGGCAATACAAGGTCTCTGTGCTGAGCACATCTCCAACCTACTCTCCCTTCAAAATTTTTTTTTCTAATACTGAGACAGGGTCTTGATAAATTGCTCAAATGCCTGGGCAGAGCTCAAACTTGCAATCCTCTTGACTCAGCCTCTCCGAGGGCCAGGATTACAGGTATGTGCCACCACACCCAGCTGATCTAGCATATTTTTAGATTAGATACAGTCACAAGGTTTTAAGAACTTCCTCCTCCAAAACCATTTAAATGTTATATTCTAACAACTACTGCATAGAAAAGCCAAAGAGAAGCACTTCAGAATCATATGATCGCTCATGCACAAAGCTAACAACCCCACTCTTCCCAAACTAAGAGAATTGTTTTGATCCTACAATTTTTTTAACCAATTCTTTTGGAACAAACAACCCAAGAATGTGCTCTAGCCGATCTGGATGTTGGTTGTCTATGGCTTTAAGACAGAATTTACATGACCCTATTCCCTCTGACATTTCAAGTACCAGGAGAGAAATGAGAGCACAAATTAAAAAGAAGAAAACCATCTTTACAATATTCAGGAGGTGTGATAAAAAAACACAGAGACGTTTAAATAAAAAGTTTACAACTTTTTATAGAAGATGCATTGCCATTACTCCCTCCTTAAAGTACCCCTCACTTTGAATACACTTGTCTCGTCATTCTTGCCACTTTTTGAAGCAGTTGTGTAAGTTCTCTTGGGTGGTTTTTTTTTTGGGGGCGGGGGCTTCCTGGTGTACTGGATCAATTCAAAATGTTTATAGCAATTTCTGTCAAATAAAAACATTACAGCCAGGTATGGTAGCACACTCCTGTAAACCCAGCACTTGGGAGGCTGAGACAGGAGGATCTCTTTCAAGGCCAGCCTGGGCTATAGGCCAGTCTGAACTACATACTGAGACCCCATCTCAAAAAACAAAACAAAACACACACACACACACACACAAACAAATTACAATGTGTCCTCATCCACCTTATTCAACTGATGAGGCCCTATATAACTTTTGACTCTTCCCCAAAGTCAAAATATCCACAAAGGAGAAAAGTTTTGAATTGTTTCAGGATATCAAGGCAGCCATGATAGCACAACTAAAGATTAAAGAGGACTTCAGAATTGTTTCAGAAAGTGACAAGATGGCAAGTGATGGCAAGGAGTGTATTATGAGGGGATTAAATGTCCATGTGTTTTTTTATTATAATACACTTTAAAATTTTTCAAATGTTGACCATAGCTTCCACAGCTTATACTCTATTGCTCTATCATGTACTTTGAATAGATCTTTTTTATCCATGGATAATTTTATATAAGACACCATACACTGGTCATTGGGAAACTATTGGTTTATTGACTACTACAGACTTTCAATTGCCAATTCATTGAATCATGCAATATCCAAGATCATATTTATTACTGTCTCTACCAATCTCATCATAACAATTTTATTGGGAATCTTAAGTGTTGAGATCATAGGAGTTAACATAAACTTCTCAAAATCCTCTCTCCTTTTTTTAAGGCTCTAACTTTGGCATCGGTAAAAACACCTGTGAGCTGTCTCCCATTAAGTAAGTGCAGGTTCACCTCATTCATTTTTGAGACAATATTTCAAGAAGTTTTACATAATGCTGAGATTTGAGGAGACATGCAATTTGAGTAGCTAATTTGTCAGTCATTCTGTCAAGTAAAAACGAGATTCTGTTGAGTGGGAAAGAGAGCTATTTCAGTTCATGATTTAACCATAGAACTGCTTTTCCTAGAGACAACCATCTCTTTTCACAATACAGCAAAAATGTTTTATGTATATTCTCATTTTAACAGATAGTGTAAGGGAGAAAATGTTTGCAAATTGCACTTATGACTTATGACATATTCAGAACATATTTTTAAAAACTCTTAAAACCAGTAAAAAGAAAAAATCAAATTTTTTGGGAGGGTACTGGAAATTAAATCATGACCTTGCACTTGCCAGGCAGGAGCTTGTGCTGCTGAGCTAAATCCTTGACCCGAGCAAACCCAATTTAAAAATGGGCTAAATATTTGTCACTTACTGTTGTCACTTACTTCATCAAAGAAACAGATGTGACAAATAAGCATCTGAATATGCCCCATATCATCGGTCATTAGGGAAACACAAATAAAATCCTCAGCAAAATACCAGTACACATTTAGGATGACTTAAAACAAAACAAAACAAAACCCAGAAAAAAAAAAAAAAAAAAAAACCCAACAAACTGCTACAAAAGTGGTAGATAACTGGAATTCTGGAGGGAATGTAAAATAGTATATACAATTTGGAAGAAGTTTGAGTTTTTTCTTAAACATTCAGCTACCATATGACTCAATAGGACATCTAGATGACATGAACACACATTCATGTAATAATCTGCAAAGTGTTATAGTAGCTTTATTTATAATATCCCAAACTTGAAAACTACCTAAATGTTCCTCAACTAATAAATGGACAAACTGTGGTACATCTGCACAATGGAATACTACTTGGCAATAAAAAGAACAAATCAATACATATAACATGGTCAAAGTGAAGATAAAAAACAGGCCCTCTGAGATTCCACTGATTCAAACATTCTAGAAAAGGCCAAACTATGGGAATAGAAAACAGATCAGTGGTTGCCTTGTGCTCATATGAGGAACAGGTCAGAAGGATCTGGAGAAACCTTTAGAGTAATGAATCTGTTCTATATATTTGTGGGGGTGGTAAACATACAACTCTCTGAATGTATCCAATTTTTTTTTCTTTTACCTTTTTTTTTTTTTGGTTCCAAGGATTAACTCATGACCTCCTGCTTGCCAGGCAGGCATTTGTATGGCTGAGCTAAAACTCTGGCTGAATGTATCAAATTTTGCAGAAGCATAAAATGGGGAAATTTCACTGCACATAAATTATGTTTTAAAAAAAAGTACTTGAGAGAGTTTATAAAATCAATACTTTTTACTGTTTCATGAAGGATGATCTGAAAAGAAGAGGACTTTTTTATTTATCATTGTGAGTACAGCATGGTGAGGAATATAACTATGAATATAGTAAGACATCCTATCTTAATTTACACTAAGATACTAGGAATTTTACCCACCAGCACTTTCGCACCATCAGTGCAAATGTCAACACAGTGAAAAGGGCAAATAACATTTAATTATTATTATTTAGGAGTTCTGAGTGATGTATCGTTCTGTGAAAGGATCCTGGGAATCCCTTGTGATCTCATATCACATTTTCAGAACTTTAGCATCTTAAGATACTAACATTCAGCTGGGCATGGTGGTATACTCCTATAATCCAAGCACTTGGGAGGCTGAGGCAAGAGGATCATTGCAAGCATGAGACCAGCCTGCACTTCAACGTGAGCCTAAGGTCAGCCTAAACTGCAAAATGAGACACTGTCTCAAAAGGACCAAAAAAAAAAAAAACTAATATTCGGTTTGGGATAAGGGAGTGTGGATGGGTGGATTCTCAGGACACTGCGTGTGAAATCAAGAAGTTCTTAGGCATGTGACAACCAAAGCATGTCCTAAGAAAGCAATGAAAGAAATGGCAGGAATTAGAAAAATGCTCCAAAGCAATCCCAGGATAACACTCAACATCCAACAGGCATGAACAGTGACTTTGTTTATTCCCCTCTCAAGCTCTTGTTTTAAAAAGAGGATTCACTATTTGTGAATTTCATAGCATAAACATAAGAAAGGCAAAACAGTCATTATTTCACATTTCCAAGGCAGTTGCTTTAAGGGACCAAACAAACAGTGGGCACTGTCAGCGGTAAGTCAAAAGAAAACTAGATAGCCAAGACATCCTATCTTAATAGCAGTCAAAAGCATAAAGTATCTCCCAACCCAAAGCAACTTTCTTCCAATAGTATTTCAGCTGAGCACTAGCCTGAAAAAAAAAAAAAAAAAAGGCATGAATGGGCAGTATAATGGTCACAAACATTAATGGTAACCAGAATTTCCTAAAGTAGATGGGGTTTCTGCACAGTGCCAAGAGTCATGAGACATTTCTACTACCATGCAAGATGAGTCCTCTTCTCAGAACCACTTGTATACCTGGAACTGAACACTGAGGATCATCTGGCATTTAAATCAATTCATATAATGGAACAGGAAATAGTCATGTGATGAGTTTGAGGCCTGTGAGGGCTGAACAAGAGGAGGACTTTTTTCTTTTTTAAAATTCTTTTTGTTTTTCTTTTGCAGTACTGGGGACTGAACCAACAGGGTCTCATTTAGTTGCCCAGACTGAGTTTGAACTTGTGTTCCTCCTTTCTCAGCCTCCCAGGAGGCTGGGATTACAGATGTGCACCCACAGCCAACTTTCTCAGGAAAGACAATGGAGGTATTCAGGATCAATTAGCCCGGCAGACACTTCCCACCAACATCCAGTACTGCAGCCTGCGCTACACAACCGGCTCACGTGAGCACTTCACAGCTCCAGCTGTTGATCCTTTAGGCCACAGTGATCCGCTTTTGTCAGTGGTGTTCAGAGTGGCTGAAATCACAAGACTTTGCTCTTTACCTTATAGAGCCAGTTTCAGGTTTTCCTCTCAACTATGTAGAGAAT